AGCGAGGAATGAGTGAGCGAGGAGTGAGCGAGCGAGAGATGGTTTATTCTAAGTGCCGCCGATAAGGAACGGAGCGCGACGCTGACTCAGCAATTCCCCAGCCGGCCACCACGTGCTTGAGACATCCTCTACAGAGCCCTGAACGATGCTGATGATGGTCATGGTCATCATTATCCCACTGGAATACGAATGCTGATTGTAACTAAAAGGGTCCTGCTGCTGCTTCTGATGCTTTGATGGGGATGCTTCTGCTTTTACTGATGATGATGATGCTGCTGGTAGTACTACTGATGATGATGCTGCTGCTACCGATGTTGATCATGCGGATGGATAGTTTTGCCTCTGATCCCAGTGCTTCGGCTGTTCTTTCTGGAACTTCTTCTGATAATGATGCTGCTGCTACTGATGATAATGGTGATGCTGTTCTGGTGATGTTGCTGATGATGATGCCAGGAGTGAATCGTGAGCGATTTGTTGCGTCATCGCTACGGGTTCGAACCCCTCCCCTTGCCCTCTCCCCCCCTTCTACTTCCCCCCATGTCCACTCCTCCGCTCAGTCTCATTCCAGACCATTTCGTTTGTTGCTTGCGGTTGGGAGCCTGTGGGGAGGTGGGGGGTGTTGTGGGGTTTCGGGTTAATTTGATAGATCTCGAAAGAACACACATATATAGGAAACACAGCCAGAGCAAACACGTGTGAAATCCATAGCCATTACAGCCGTAGCAAACACATCGAATACGTATTTTACATCTCATCCCACACGCGCAGTAGCTACATCACACAACAGAATCCCTCACATCGCGTCTCGCACACAGCCGCTCAAGCACACAGTACCTACCCACAGCAGCTCACACAGCGCTTATCAGCACAGCACCAGCAGCCCTATGCAGCAGCATTTTGCGAAAAGCCTCTCTAAATTTCCCAACGCAATCTGCTGTTACTCAAGTTGCTGCTGCTGCTGAGTCAGCATTACTGCTCTGCAGGTCCTAAATTCAGCCGCGTCGGCGACACTTGAAAATATCAGTGCACCCGGCACACAACGTCCAGGATACCCCTTGCCCCGCTATCGCTATTCACAGTCACGTGCCACATACTCGAGTCGACCAGCGACCCGTAGACGATTTACGCGCTCGGCACACCGCATCCAGTATATCTCTGGCCACGGCTGTGGCTACGAGTCGCATGTCACCTTCCCCAGTCGACTTGCTCCCTGGAATGTATTTCCGCACCCGGCACACCGCCTCCAGTATCCATCTGGCTCTATGGCTACTCAATGACGAGCAGCCTGGAAAACAACAACAACAAACCAGAAACATCGAGAGAGAGAGAGATAAGTTGTGCCCTCTGGTCGGAAACAAACCCCCCAGGGACTGAGTCAGAGCGGCAGCCACTCAGGCGGGGAGCGGTGGGGGAGAGGAATTCAGAGAACGCGCGGGGAGCGTGAGTCGCGTTACTCGCGGTCGCGGGGAGCGTGAGTCGCGTTACTCGCGATGACCGCGACGAGGACCACTTTGAGTACCGCGTTGAGTACCTCGTACACCTGCACGAGGTGCGAAGGAGGTCCCATTCTCTGGGGGCGGGGGGGGGGGATTAGGGGGAGGTTGGGGGGGGTCAGGGTAGGTTGGCAGGGGGGGTGCGAGGGGAGGTTGGTGGGGGGGAGAAGGATTCGCTGTCGGAACGCGCGCGGAGCCGCCGCGTGGCGAGGGTTGAGTCACCCGTGAGTGAGTCAGACCGCGGCTCCACGCGTCTCCCATTGGGCGAGGCGCGACCACTCGTTTAGTCTCCCGCGCACAGGGGAGACGCGTGGAGACACTGGGAGACGCGTGGAGACGCGTGGTGACACGGGGAGACGCGGGGAGACACTGGAAGATGCGGGGAAATGGGGTCCGGCGAGCCAGCAGAGGCGAGACACGTGGCTTGTGCAGGTGAACTCTATATCTCTCTTGGCGCACTCTCTCGTTTTCTCTCTCTCCCATCGCTATTCTCGTGCCACCCATGCGCCCATATCGTTCCCCACTGCCCATTCTCCAGGAGGCTCTGAAGTTCTCCACTCACTCCCCCTTCTCGCAATGCGCGTCAGCTTTCGCTGCTTTGCCTGCTGCTGCTTGTGATGTGTTGACCGCGTGGTCAGAGCCGGGGGGGTGTTAGGGGGTGCCGCACGTGTTCGCGTTTGAGTCTCCGCGCACGCGCGCGCCTCAGCCATCTCCCGTCTCGTGAGAGAGACGAGAGAGAATGAGAGACTAAGGGAGAGAGTAAGCAAGAGTAAGCAATAGAAAAAACACAGGCATCACTCCCACGCCGAGCTCGACCACGTGGAGAGACAGAGACGTGGGAGCAGAGAGAGCGGCAGCGGAGGGGGGAGGTAGCCGAAGGGATTGAGGAGGTCCTCTAGGGGTTCGTAGCGGACACTTGTGGGTGTTTATAAGGGTGCCTGTGGTGGGTTATGGGTTCCACGTGGTCCCAGGGATGAAATCTGGAAGTCGAAACGAAAGCGGCGTTGGCGGATGTGTGTGGGGGCCGAGGAGGAAGTCGCGTTATTCGCGGTCGTGATAACGATAGCAATCGTGGACGTGATGATAGTTAAGCTTCACCGGTTCAATCTCCCGCGCGGCAGCTGAAACGATGGGAACACGTTTCTTAAAACCCCCACTCACCTCTGTCCGACCGAGCGGTGGGAATAGACCACAGTTCATCAATTTGGCAGGTGTGGCGGTAGGGAAAAGCGTGGGTACTGCCACCTCTTCCAAGACGTACTGGCCATCGTGGAAGAGTAGGCCATAATATCTCTCTCCAAGATGGGCTGCCTTGAGGCTCCCTCTAGTGGAGGCGTCTTCCGACGGCAGTGACGGTCAGCAATTTCACCGACATGTATCCACAATGGTAGTGGTGGTGGTGATGGCAAGAGCGGTCATGGTTATGATGATTTGTTTTTATCGACTACAGTACATGTTTTTTACATTGCCGTGCATTGTAGTCGCGCATTGTAGTCGCGCAGGTCAAACAGTCAAAGGGAGAGGTCGCGCTTGGGCCAGGGAGAAGGGACTTCGAGTGGATCTCAAATGAGGAAGTGACACAGGAAGTGTGGGGAGCCGTGGTGGAGAGTGGGGGGGGGTGAAGGGGGGGGCATTCACTTACTTCATCATCAACCACTGTCGCTCCACTGCTGGATCGTGAGCGGGAATAGAAACTCCGCTTGCCGGGTTCGTGGCACAGCGCGCTAACCACTGCGCCACCACTCCCCCTGGTGTCGCGGCTCCCTCTGGCCACATGCGCGCCGCTCAAGGCAACGTTGCTGATGGCGTCATCAATGCTGGATGTGTCGATGATTCATCCATCCCGCGCGGACGCGAGTCTGGATGAACAAATATCATCATCATACTACTGCTGAGTCATCGCGCAATAACAAACAGCGTTCTTGCTCGCCACGCACGCGCGCATGCAGGGAAGGAAACAGCCACCCGCGTTGCACGCGTCTCATTCATGAGTGAGTGTGAGGGTGTGTGAGAGCGTGTGAGAGTGTGTGAGAGCGTGTGAGAGTGAGAGCGTGTGAGGGCGAGAGTGTGTGAGAATGGTGTGAGAGTGAGAGTGTGTGAGAGTGAGTGTGTGTGAGAGTGTGTGAGTGTGTGTGTGAGAGTGAGTGAGTGTGTGAGAGTGAGTGTGCAAGTGTGAGAGCATGTGAGAGTGAGTGTGTAAGAGCGTGTGAGAGTGTGTGAGATTGGTGTGAGAGTGAGTGTGTAAGTGTGAGAGCATGTGAGAGTGGTGTGAGAGTGAGTGTGTAAGTGTGAGGGCATGTGAGAGTATGTGAGAGTGAGTGTGTAAGTGTGAGAGCATGTGAGAGTGTGTCTTATCGCGTGTGCGTTGTGGGAGGGGGTGGCGTAGTGGTTACAAGGCTGTTAAGGTTGTGCGGTGGGGGGGCCTTCGTCTTTGTGTGGAGGGAGTGGAAGCACTGTGATTAACGCACTGCCATACGAGCCCGGCAAAGCCAAGTTCGATTCCCGCTGACGGTTAACATCGGTGGCGAATGTCTGACCGGGGGGGTGGGGGCTTGGTCTCTGTGTCATCTGGCGTGGAGTTGAGTGTCGTGAGATGGCGATGACTCACGGGGCTCGCATCGCCACGTGACTCAACCCCCCCCCCCCACTCGTCCCTCCGCAGGACGAGTGGGGGGCCAGGGGGACCTGAGCCAGTGGGGGAGGGGGGGAACCAATCCGTGACCACAGCCATGGGGGGGCGGGGGCGACGCGCAGGGGAACTTTTCAATACTCCGCCTGTGCACAATGTGTACACACACACACGTTGTTACACGGTGTGTGTGTGTACACACACACATTGTGTGTACACTGTGTGTGTGTACACACACACTGTGTATAGTGTACGCAATGTGTGTACACACGTTGTTTACACAATGTGTGTACACACAATGTCTACTTGTACACACAGTCTACTTGTACACAATGCGTGTGCAAACGTATAGTATACACAATGTGTGTACACACACGTTGTTTACACACAGTGTGTACACACAATGTACACAATGTACACACAATGTCTACTCATGGAGTTAGGACTAGGAAAAGGGGTTAAGAACAGGTTTATAGTTGAAACTATGGTTCGGAAGAGGTTTAAGTCCAGTAGGATGGGAGGCTGAGGGAGTTAGCGCAGGGTTGGGACCTGATTGAGATTAAGGGCTTAGGAGAGGCTTGAACTTAAGAGGTTACAGCGACAGTTAAACTTCGGGTTAGGTGTGGCTGGTGGGCAGTGATGAGTTTACTTATCGGGGTCTGTCCATGACTGTGTGTGTGTGATGTGTGTGTGTGTGTATCTTGTTCGATGTGTAAACATCAGCCCTGGGGAGACAAAGGTGGCAGTGTGGTGCTGGCCACCCACCCCCTCGTGTGCCGTGCCAGCCTTCATAGGTGTTACTCGCTTACAGCGCTTTGCTCCAACAGTCTGTTAAGGCTACACGGGGGATCTTTGTCTTTTGTTTTGTGTGTGAGTAGGTGGGGACAGGAGAGAACCAGGAGGAGAAATGAGGAGAGAGGAGGATCGACACGAGTGAAGGAGAATGCTTCGAAATGCACAACACGGACACACACTCCAAGTAGCAGCAACTCTATGGCTAAAGAAGCAGTCGACGTTTCCGCCTTCGACCCTTCCTCATGCACTGGCTGACAAGAGGCAGGCGATGGAGGAGGACGCTTGGGCGTGGCGGGAGAGGAGCCTCCTACCAGGCTGGTTTCACGTGGTGGCTTGATGTGAAAGTGCGATTCTAGCACCATTTGAAATCAGTGTTGGTGGGCAGAGCACGTGCGCCCACACCTGTGCACGGTGCACACCTGTAGAGTGCCATACACCTGCACGCAATGCCATACACCTGTACACCATGTCATACACCTGTACACCATGTCATACACCTGTACGCAATGCCATACAACTATACACAGTACCATATACCTGTAAACTATAAACGTATACAGGATACTATACACCTGTACATAGTGGCATAGACCTGTACACAATTCCATACACTTGTAAACTATAAACTTGTACACAATACCATACGCCTACAACACATTACACCTGGACAATATTGACCGACAACACAATTTACCTGCTCACGTCACACTTGTTACCTACTGCCGCTGCTGCTGCCGCCAGACCACGTGGTATGAGAGACATCCGATGACACATTCTGTCCGGACCGTTAATTCGCGAGCCCCGTTCCGATAGGCAGCAGCTGTAGGAGACCGAGTAATTCGCCAGAGAAGAACCCTCCGAGCAAGACTCCGACACCCGACTCGTTCACTCGGGACCCGATCCCACACTGGCTGGCAAAACCGGTTTAATCGGCGAAGCTGCCGACTTGTAATCCGGTTTTATCGGATACCCCGAGTGCAGGGTGGAGGGCCTAGAGAGCGGTCTCCACGAATCCGCTGACCAGGGAAGGGGAAGAGAAGACCTAAGTCAGATGTTGGGAGACTTTCAGGGCAGATCTCTGGGTCTCTGTGTGAATCTGTGGGTGTCTTTGTGTCGGTCTATGGGGCTCTGTGAGTATCACTGTGGGTGACTCTCTTTTCTCTCTGAATAAGGCCAGAGGGAGGGAGACTGTTGGGGCACATCTCTGTGGTTCTCTCTGCGAGTCTCTGTGCGGTGGTCCATCCCTTCGCTGTTAAGGGCCATTGCCCGAAACGTCTATTATACATGTTCTTGTGTCGAATGTGTTGATTGTTATTTGAGTGTCGTCAGTCGGGGGGTTAAGTTTCAAGTTGATTTTGTTTGACCAGCTGAGAATTCAAGAGGCCAGGGAGTCTCATTTGTCGAGTGACTCGGGGTGGTGAGTTGGGGTGCGGCAGAGGCTGGCGGGGGGGGGGGGGGTCCCGTGGGCTGTGCCCGACTCGCGTGACCGATTTCCCTTGGTGTTTAGATGTGGATGTGGTCTCTAGCACCATTAGAAATCGGTTATGCGGGCGGGAATCGTCACCCACGTCGCCATCGTCAGCTGCTACAGCGGTCGCACGAGGTGCAAGGAGATGGGGGGGGGGTATAGAGGCGAGCCGCGGGGAGCGGTGGCGCAGCGGTTAGCGCGCTGCGAAGCCGGCGACCCGAGGTCGACTCTCGATCACGGTCAACATCAACGCAGATGATTATTTAAACTGGACCCGGCCATCCCCTAGATCGACTCGGTTCGAAATGAGTACCTGGTGTATAAACATCGCCACTGGGGAGTCGCAGAGGCGGCCGGGCGTGGTGCTGCCCCCACCCAACTCCTCGTGCGCACAGTGCCGGCCTTCGGTTACTCGCTAACAGCACTCGCCCCAACAGTCTGTCAAGGCTGTAAGAGGTGTGTTAGTCATGGTGCAATATAATACTAAATAAATATATTGTTGTACATCTAAGTGTTGTGTGTTTCTGTCGCGTTATGATGAGAACCTTGCAGCAGGCATCATTGGTCACAGTACATTACTGATGAGTCCCGATGAGGACAAAGCCGGTCTAGAGTTCGTCTGCCTCTGTCGGTGACATTTGCTCAAGTTCATTGTGACGGTGACCCAACACAGGAGGACTGCTGTGCACTTCTTCAGCAACTGCTCGTGGTCTGTGCAGGACGCTGCACGCGGCCTGAGTGCCTGTTGTGCACGTTGTGTGAAGCCGCACATACAAAGGCAAATATCCCCCGTATAGCCTTAACAGACTGTTGGGGCAAGTGCTGTTAGCGGGCACCTGTATGAAGGCCGGTCGGCCGGAGGTGGTGTGGCCAACACCACGCCCAGCCACATTTGTTTCCCGCTGATGTTTACACACCGCACCAGGTACCCGCTTAAGGTTGAGTCGGCCTAGGCGAAGCCCAGCACCGTTTCAAATATTCGTCACTGACGTTGGTCGTGAGCGGGAATCGAACTCCGGTGGCCGGGTTCGGAGTGCATTGCGCTAACCACCGCGCCACCGTTACAACAACCAACGCCATTCGCCGCGAAATGGCGCTTAAATCACCACGGCGCCTGTGCCAGGCTAGGTGCACCTTGAAGCCACGTGAAGTGTCGAAGTCTCGCTGGCAAGACGTCACGAGACAGCCCTAGGTGCTATGGGTCGACTGAGATGACTGGCAGATGCACCACCTGTGCTCCCTACTGTGCCAACTTGCTGCGTTTTAACCACCCGACGCTCCGCTCGTTGTTGTGAGCATCGCTGCTCTGCCCTCCGCTGTTGTTGGAGGGCGACTGCCTCCAACTACCCAGTAGCGTCCTTCACGAACCTCCTCCACAGAGGCCGATCTTGACACCGCTGGTATCAGTCATCGGCAAGTCCACTCAGCTCCACATCCTCCTGTACCACATCAGCTCCATCTCTTCTATAGCTCACCGCTGCCGTGGCGTTCATGGTGAATCCACTCGACTGAGTTCGATCTCTGGCTACGGTTGAAATCATGCGAGTGATATCTGAACCAGTTTGGTTCAGTTTGGTTCAGTTCAGTTCGGTTCGGTTCAGTTTATTCTGAAGTCCCCTGTGAGCTAAGAAGCTCTTGAATCAGGTTTCATCAACACAAGCATCGGTTCTCTGGCAAATGTAACAACGTACACAACAGGTCGCCAGAAATGTTGAATTGAAAATACATGCATAATGAAGAGCAAAAATAATGCAGAGTATATTGCAAATTATCGTTGAAATATTTAATTTGAGTGAGGATTATGATTAAGATATGTATTGCAATTAAGGCATAAATACTGGTCCGGACCCGTCCCCCCTCCTTCAGTAACTAGCAATGACCAGCGTGGTGAAGTATGGTCACAGATCTACTATGACCGACACGGCGGGATGGGGGCGGCGGTGTTAACCCAGCAGTGGATTGAGAATGCTTTATTAAAGGCAGGCGGTGTTAATTACGCGTGTGGCGCGTGGCTATTTTAAGCCGTGTTTGTGTTGTTTCTGTTGTCCATTGCTAGGAGAGTACGCAGGAATAATTCGCCACTCCGCTGAGATTCGACTGTAAGATTCGATTCTCTTTTTTAAGTTTCTCTTTGGAAAATGTAGCGGCCTCTAGCGGCTGCAGGGGTCACGTAAACGCGCGCATGGCATCGATGCCGCTGCACTTGCCTGTTCTATCTCCCGGAGCGGCAGTTGAAACAATGGGAGTTAGTGTCCTTAATCTGACCCCATCGCCTCTATCCACCCAGCAGTAGAGATCCATGGGTTACAGCCACAGTGAGTCGATGGGAAGGTTGAACGCGGTGGGTGGGCTAAAATGTGGGCACTCCCATGTCTTCCACTACGTGTGACCAGCGTGGAAGAGTAGGCCGAAACACACTCCCCTCGAGAGAGAGGAGTGCTCTCGGACGCTCCAGAGCTCCCTGTAAGCGTTATCCCTTCTACTGGCAGCGGCGTGATCCGGCACTTGCAGGGCTGCGCTTACATCTTCACAACCCTCCCCACGTGTCCCCCGCGATGGCTATTTATGTTCATCACCTTGAAGCAGTGCCAGCCTTGACTTCCCCAGCGACACCCCCCCCCCACCCCGCAGGGTGATTTTCCGAGGTCTCGTCAAGTCACCCGGGGATGCCGCACCACCGTCAGATATCGCAGGCTAAGCAGGCTTACAGCCTGGACATCGCTCGCTTGCTCCGGATGAGCGATGACCCCGCCGGTGCATCGTCGCTGTTGTCGGCGGCCGCGTGGGGGGGGGGGGCAGTACCGCGAGCGATGGTGGAAAAAAAACGATCGCAGGCGTCTGAGCCGCACTAATCGGGTACTGGAGGGTTGGAATACTCTGTGCCTGGCAGCAGCGCTGCGCCTCCACTGGGTGCGTCGGCGGATGTGTAGTGGGCCCCTCAAAGGGTTTTCAAAGTCCAATTCAGCCCTCGGTAAATAAAATAAAAAGTTCCCCACCCTTGCACTGCACACTCCCTTTCTTTGCTCTCCTTTCCTCACTCTCTCCCCCCTCCCTCTCCCCTCTGTTCTCCCCACTCTCTTCATCCTTCTGTCCCCCATCCTCTCACCCCCATCCTCTCACTCCCCCATCTTCTCTCCTCTCGATCCCCTCTCTGCCCTCTCCCTTCCTCTCTCCTGCCTCCACTCTCTCCCCCCTCACCTCTCCCTCTGCCCCCTCTTTCTCCCCTCTCCCCGTTGCTATAGAGACCGGGCCGCCCCTCGGCTGCGCCTGATGTTGACGTTGGGTCTCTGTTTGTCCCATTGCGTCACCGCGTCAACACATTGGCAGGGAGAGGCACGCATAGAGACACACAGAGACTCATAGCCACACATAGAGACACAGAGACACGTAGAGACGCATAGAGACACAGAGACTCATAGCCACACATAGAGACACACAGAGACACGTAGAGACGCACAGAGACACAGAGACTCATAGCCACACATAGAGACACACAGAGACACGTAGAGACGCACTGAGACACACAGAGACTCATAGCCACACATAGAGACACACAGAGACATGTAGAGACGCACAGAGACACACAGAGACTCATAGCCACGCATAGAGACACACAGAGACACGTAGAGACGCACAGAGACAAACAGAGACTCATAGCCACGCATAGAGACACACAGATACACGTAGAGACGCACAGAGACACATAGACACCCGTAGAGGCACTGAGCCATAGAAACGCACAGAGATTCTTAGACGCATAGAGACATTCAGAGACAGACACACTGATACTCATAGACACATAGAGAGACACATATACACGCATAGATGCACATAGACAAAGAGACGCACAGAGACCTATACACAGAGATACATATAGGGACCAACAACAGCATCCGTCATTCGCCACTGAGTTGGTTGACGTCTCCACAGCGCTTGTGCCAGGCTAGGTGCACTTTGAGGCACTCACGTCAAGTGTGGAAGGCTCGCTGCTGGTCACGACACAGACCCAGGTGCCTTGGGTTGATGGAGCTGATTGGCAAACATAGACAGACAGAGACATAGATACACACATCCACATCGATAAACAGACATAGCAAAACCGAGGCAGACATACACACATAGACACGCATACACACATAGACACGCATACACACACATATAGACACGCATACACACACACATAGACACGCATACACACACATAAAGGCAAAGACCCCCCATATAGCCTTTACCAGACTGTTGCGGGCACACTCAAACACAGAGCAACACAATCTAGCTGACTGCACACTCACTGACTTGCACTGACACATTCACTGACACACTGCTCACTGACACACTGCTCATTCACACACTCACTGACTTGCACTGACACACTGCTCACTGACACACTGCTCACTGACACACTGCTCACTGACTTGCACTGACACTTACTGACACACTGCTCACTGACACACTGCTCACTGACACACTTACTGACACACTGCTCACTGACACACTGCTCACTGACACACTGCTCACTGACACACTGCTCACTGACTTGCACTGACACACTTACTGACACACTGCTCACTGACACACTCACTGACACACTGCTCACTGACACACTGCTCACTGACACACTGCTCACTGACACACTGCTCACTGACACACTGCTCACTGACTTCCACTGACACACTTACTGACACACTGCTCACTGACACACTCGCGCACCTGTGTTGTCGAGCCTGTAGAGAGAGAGAGTCCATCACTCTCCGCCGCTCACCCGCGGGTCTCACCGAGTGACTCAGATAAAACAAAAAGGTCGGATATCACCTCGTCCACCTCGTCCACCTCCTCCGCCTCGTTCATTCAAAGTCGCCGCGACTTCCACCCGCGGCCGATATGGAAAACAGCGGCCCACGGCGGGACAGCTGTGGCAACAACAGCAGCAGTAGCAGCAACAACAGCAGCAGCAGCAGCCCACGGGGAGACCCGCGAGAATTGGGGGTCGCCCCGGGGGTGGACCTTGGGGGGGAGCGCGGATGTGACGCGGCGGGGGGCGCGGAGGACCCCCCCCTGTACGTGCAGCAGCTGTACAGGTGAGCACAGGAGCCGCACGCAGGTAACGTCGGCGGAGCTCCTGAATTCACCTGCGTACAGGTGAGACTGGGGGGTCTCGATTTACCTGCGTAGAGGTGAGATTTGGGGGTTTTTCACCTCCGTACAGGTGAGACTGGGGGTTCTGATATTACCTGTATACAGGTGAGACTTGGGGTTCTGGTATCACCTGCGTACAGGTGAAAGTGGGGTTCTGAACTCACCTGGGTGCAGGTGGTATTGAGATTCCTTAACTCACCTGTGCGCAGGTGAACATTCTGATGCAGGTTCGAAACAGGGTGCAAGCAATTCCTACCAGCGCTTGCTATGAACGACTCGTACAGGTGACCGCTCTAAGCGGAATCTACAGGCGGTCCCTACCCTGGTGGATTGGGCTCATGAGTGAGACGCGATTTGTCTCCAACCGTCCTCTTCTATGGAGGGAGGGGACGGGTCGACGCGACCTCTGATCCCGGGGAACTACCGCGGATTTCTATCGGGTTTCCCGAGTCGCTGTTGACTCAACAGCCGCGATTGTTTCCTCTGCCTGAGAACGGCTCCCTGACTTCCGAGCTGTGCGAAGGAATGCGTGACCTCTAACCGTGACCTTGACCTATAACCATGACCTCTAAGCGTGGTCTCTAATGTGGAACTTAACGACACACCAAGCGGCTATTAGAAATAGACGCAAGCGAATAACTCTGACCTCAGCCGTGACCCCAATTTACAACACCCGGAACGCCCATGAGCTCGTCGGATTTCGCAAGCTAAGCGGCGTTGCGCCTGGGGATTCGTCGGATGACCGACCGCCATGCCTAGCAGCAGATATGAAAGATACCAAAAGTAATAATCCACAGCCCTTATTTATCAATCCACTGCTGGATGAGGGCCTTTCGCCACGCTGAGTCGGTCATGGGGGGGGGGGGGGGGGGGAGGTGCTTGACCGTACTTCCCCACGCGCCGGGACAGTGCGCGTTGACGGAGGTGTAGCGAGTCGGGAAGGCGACCTGTGCGCTCCCCTTGCGGGCACGGCTCAACAATAGCTGATGCTGGGAGACGGAGGACGGCGATGACGTCTCGCTGTGTTCCCCCCCCCGCTCCTCACCACCCCCACCCCCGCTCCTCACCACCCCCACCCCCCGCTCCTCACCACACCCACCCCCCGCTCCTCACCACCCCCACCCCCGCTCCTCACCACCCCGCCCACCGCTCCTCACCACCCCCCCCCCCGCTCCTCACCACACCCACCCCCCGCTCCTCACCACACCCACCCCCCGCTCCTCACCACCCCACCCCCCCCGCTGCTCACCACCCCTCCGCCCCCCAGGCTGCTGGGCCAGGCCGAGGCGGACACTTTCCTGTTCCCACGATTGAAGTCGAGCGAGCAGCGAACTCCCAAAGGGACCCCCGCCGAGGGGACCCGGAAGGTCCCAGGTGCGTGTGGGGCGCCGCGGTGGCTAGGAGATGTTAACGACCTCTCCCGGTGTACAGGAGGTCGTGGGCTCGATCCCGACGCTGATGTCTGCCGTATATTTGGAGTTTGCGTGTTCTTCCCGTGGTTGTGTGGATTTCTCTCCGGGTCTTGCGGTTTTTTCCCTCCACATTTAGAAACACGCGCTTCGTTGAGCTGTCATTTGTGGCCAGGTCGCTCTGAAAAGAGCTGCATAGCTCAGTGGGCCGTACCCGGTAAAATAAAAAAATAAAATGTTTAAAAGTTTTAGTTTATAGTTTGAGAGGGAGTGCCCTCTCTCTGTCAACCCCAGGGCTTCATCTTAGCCGGGTCTGGGCCAGAACAAAAACAAATTCCCCACCTCGGCACACCACATCCAGTAAACCTCCCCCTATGGTGGTGGGGCGACCACTCACGTGCCACCTACTTCAATCTCGTTACCAGCGTCAAGGGAAATACTCAATGAGAAATTACAGCCTGCTCAGCCGCAACTCCACGTGACTCCCTAGTACCTCCACGTGACTCCTAGTACTTCCACGTGACGCCCTAGTACTTCCACGTGACGCCCTAGTACCTCCACGTGACTCCGAATACCTCCACGTAACTCCCTAGTATCTCCACGTGACTCCCTAGTACCTCCACGTGACTCCCTAGTACCTCCACGTGACTCTCTAGTATCTCCACGTGACTCCCTAGTACCTCCACGTGACTCTCTAGTATCTCCACGTGACTCCCTAGTACCTCCACGTGACTCCCGAGTACCTCCACGCGACTCCCTAGTACCTGCACGTATCACGTGTGGCACCTACACGTTGCGCGTGGTATCCGTGTTGTGTCTGTAGAGCGCGGCGCGCGAGCCGAGCGCGCGTGGCAGGCGATGTGCGACCGCTCCCGACTCCGCTTCGAGCAACTCCAGCTCCACACAGCCCCTGTGCACCTGGTGAGAAGGAGTCCCTCGTGATGGGGGTCAAGGTCAGACTCGGGGTCAATGTCACGGGCAGGCACGTGCTTCGTTTTGTAAGTCACAGGGAGAGGTTTATTGAGCTCAGTTTTGTTTTCTAGTGAAGCGAAGTCAACGTTTTGTTTCTGACCAAGCGAGTGCCGAGCGGTGCTTCCCCTGGATTGGAGACCCTGATTGAGTGGTGTAGCTTCCACGTTACTATGCCGGGGTCGTTTCACGATGAAAGGCTATGATGAGAGGTATGGCCTTGATTTGGGATCTACATTATGCCCTAAAATTACTGATTCTAAAGTCAGTCAGATGGACCGTGTCTCCCTTGTCCACCCCATGTCTTCTTCTGGCCCCGTGTCTCTTCGCCTCTCCAGTGTCTCCCTCGTGTCTCCAGTGTCTCCCTCGTGTCTCCAGTGTTTCCCTCGTCTCCGCGTCTCTCCTGCCCCCCCCCCGCCCCATTATATCCCCACTCACACTGGTCCCGTGGTACCTCGTGTCTCCAGTGTCTATGTCTCCCTGCGCCTCCTTTGTCCCCTCGTCTCTCCCGTGCCTCCAAGTGTACCTTCCGCGTCTCCTGCATGCACTGTATGTTGAACTTCTTTCGCGCCGTACGTATCCAACCGTGCTTATCGGAGGTTCGTCTCCACGGTATCTCCCATTGACACTTCTCCCGTGTCTCCGTGTGTCCCGTGTCTCCGTGTCCCCGTGGGGTGGTGGTGGAGTCGGAGGAGCTGTCCGCGGTGCTGATCTCCAGACTCCGCCAGCAGGAGGCGCAGCGGCGCTCGCGCCTTCTCCTCCTGCAGGGCGCCAACTGGGACAGGCAATGCAGGGGGGCGGGGGTCCTGGGCCGAGACCCCCGCCGGGACCCCTGCGGCGGGGGGTTCAGTCCCGCCTGGTTCCTCCTCCCGGCGATCGGCGAGCAGCAGAGGCAGCAGGTGCTTAGACCCAGTCTGTCTATTTATAGTGCAGTAATAACGCCAGTTATTAATCCTGGAAGCGGCACCGAGTCTCAATGCTTCTTTGAAGAGACTGCTGCTGTATTACTGTTATGAGAGATTAGAGTTATTTAGGTCTTTAAACTGTGCACATGATCACAATCCCAACGCATCAATCGTCCAGCAACAAACAGCACCGTGAAAATTCTAAGATATAAGAGTGTAACACGGATCTTGAATTGAGCAAGGTTGTTTATTCTGAGTGCTTGGAGCGGGGGGACGATGGGAGAGGGAATTCCAGAGTGGAGCAGTCGAAGGGTTTGAGTGGCGAGTGGATGAGTGTGTGTTAGTGACTGTGCTGGATGGGTGAGAGAGAGTGGTGGGTGAGTAGGTGAGTGTGTGAGTGGATGGGTGAGAGAGTGGTGCGTGAGTGGGTGATTGACCGGGTGAGTGAGCGGGTGAATGGGTGGGTGTATAGGTGAGTGAGTGGGTGGATAGGTAGGTGAGTGTGTAGGCAAGTGCGTCGTTGTGACCTGCCGTGGTCGTGGTTGGATACAGTGTGGACGAGACGAAAGAGTTCGGGTTGGCTTCACGCGGGAGGAACTCGGAGAGCGGTTTGCTCCACGGAGAAGTGACCCTGCCCGCCCGTGACTCTCAGCCTGCTCTCTGCTCTCTCTCTCTCGAGGCCATCTGTCAAACGCACGCCGGTGACCGTGGCCTCAATCCCCCCACAAGGGTGGGGGGCGGGGGCCCTGCGGGGACCCATGGGGAAGGGAAGCGCCCCAGGGTTCGCTACAGGTGAGCTGGGATTAACAACCGCCTGTAAAGTGTTGTTGTTGTTGATGTAATTGTTATTCGCACTCGTCACGCATTTGCGTGGATGGGGGGTGGAGGGGGGGCCGTGATGACGTCGGCACACACGAACCCGGCTCAAGGTCGTGGGATGCTCGCCCGCGCGCCAGCCAGCAAAACTTTTTTTTCTAATAAAATAATATAGCAGTACAGTCGTTTATGATACGTTTTAAAACGTAATTAAAATATATTCTCGGTGGGATTCCACCGCAATTCCCCCCGCGCGCCGCACGCAGACCAGGCGCCACTAATGGGACCCCTTTTTCAGATTCCTCTCGGAGACAACAAACAACACCCCCATGATGGGGGGCCGCGCCGGTAGCAAGGGGACCGCAAGTTGGGGGGCACGGTACCCCCGGAAGAAAGTCGGCACTCACACCGAGGAATCGCCGCCGAAACCCTCGTCGATCCCCGCGCAGGACCCCTCTGGGGACCCCTGCGGAGACCCCCGGCAAGCGGGAGACCTGTGGGAGCCGCTGTCCCTGCCCGCGCTCGAGGCGCACGGCCGCGTGGTGCGGGCGCTGGGGCGCGGCGCGTTCCGGAACGGCGCGGCGCGCGTGTGGCTCGTGGACGAGGCAGCCGGCTCGGTCGGCGCTCGCCGCTTCTCCTGAATGCCGTTACGCGGCAAGTCCTCGCTTAGCGCGGTAGATGCGTTCCTAAAAAGTGTCGCGTCAAGCGGGGGGAAAACACGATTCCCCATAAATAATGTAGCGATAACGTTCGGCGAGAAACGACGTACAACTACGCACACACGCAGCGAGATGGCGTGACAAATACCTGAGGGTTTGCCGCCGCATTACTGTATCATTCTGCGTGTTGTATCGTACCGCTCAGCCGCGCAGCTAAAGAAAGTAGTTCGTTGTCGACTACTCATAAACCGCGTTAGAAAAGGCGCGTTCCGCGTTATAATGGTGCGCGTTCGGCGTTGTGGGAAAGCGTTTCCTAATTGAAGAACCGCATTGTAGCAAGGACGCATTGTGTGAACACCGTGCGTTAAGCAAGGACTTACCTATATCACCTGAAAGTTAAAGTTACAGACTTGTTTACGCCACGCTCGGGTGTCCTTATACTCAGAGGCGCGGGAAACTACAGACGAGCGGGAAAGGCAGCCAGAATCGGTGCTACGAACAATCGCCCAAGCTCTGTGATCCTACATTTGGATGTTTGGCCAACTCCGTTAATGCGTGGTGATACCACACGGGAAGAGAGCCGAGTGCCTAGAGTAGGCCCAGGGGAGTGATGCTCAATCACAGATGGAGACAGACGGAGATGAATCCGCTTGGTGTACCGCCTTGCCTGACGAGCCAGGGCATGGGCACATCCTCGACGTGCACAGGAAGGGAGTTGCACAGCCCATCTGTGTGTGATCCACCAACCCCCGCTGCTGTTTCCACAAGTGCTGGACTACAAGGCAGCCGCGTGCAGCAGCGGAGCCACCGCCCTGCGTGGGTTCCAGTTTTGCGAAGGTTTATTAAATCATGTGAAGATATACGTTGTGAAAAATCGATCATGTACTATAAGGAATCAAACGTAGCAGTAAATATCACGCCAGCTAGAGGCTGGCCACGTGGCTCAGTAAATATGAACAAGGCCCCTCCCGTGCCGCCCGTGTGCCAGGTCGCGTCTCTCCTGCACCGCCATGGATAATTAAACTCGCTCACACTCGTCTTGGGATTTGCTTTCTTTTCCTTCCAAACGGACTGTGTGCTTACTTGTAAAATTAAATGTTCTTGTGTTTTGTGTGTTCGATGGTAACGGTGCCTTGGATGGCCAGATTCTGTGCCGGGAAGGCGCCACAGATTCATGAATGAACATCGACTCGGCTTCACTCGTCCGAAACATCGTGGCGTTCAAAGAAAAGAAAAAAAGCACATATATACATGATGATCGGCGACATTTCGGACAGTGGACCTTTATAGCACAGGCATAACGCTCGCTCGGCGCGAGGAACGCATGAAGCTCCGTGCTTAGCTGAGCCCTCCACCACCCGGCCACGCGTTTGACTTTGGATGCAACGCCTCGCGTCGTCCACCAGGAGGCGGACGACGCGAGGCGTTCGCAAGAGTCGGCCCTCGTGGGGCCACATTCGAAATGTGCGAAACTCGAAAATGACACCGCAAATGACTCAATGTGGATTAAACACGGACAATAATCGCCCTCTACTCGCATCCCCGTGCCCCGGGTCACTCAAACGGGACCTGGTCCCTTGAGTACTCACCACCTCGTGTTCACCCGCTGTACTTCTGAGAGGCGAGGTTCACCCACAAGCACCCGGGAATCAAATCCGCACAGTTTGTTTTATTTCGCAACCCATATCGCCCTGGCTACACACACTACGCGTGACGAGGTAAAGGCGCAGCGCTGCAACTGCTGGGCTCGCCTCACTGCTGGTGGAAGGGCCTCCACTGGAGGAAGCTGTCGAAGGGCACCAGAGTGGCTAGGAGATGTTAACGACCTCGCCTGGTATACAGGAGATCGTGGGTTCAATCCCGACAGTGACGCCTGCTGCTGCTGCTGTATATTTGGAGTTTGGGTCTCGAGTGGACATTTCTTTGGGTCCTCAGGTTTTCCCCTCAACATTTAGAAGCGTGTTTAGAGTATTTGGCTGCTGTACATTTACACTTCGTTGAGCTGTCATTTGTGGCCAGGTCGCTTCTGAAAAGAGCGATATAGTTGAGTGGGCCTGACTTGGTAAAATGCAAAATAGAAAGAGCCCCCTATAGAGGGTATTTGGCCTACTCTTCCACGCTGGTCAGTACGTCTCAGAAGAGGTGGGAGTACCGACACTTTACCCCCCCCCCCGCCACACGCGACCTGCCGAACTACGAACCGTGACGAACCCATTCACACTGCCGCATAGGGAGATCGACCTGGCGGCCAGGTCTGCTGACCGCCGCACGACGGAAGCACCCATATCGTGAGTATCGTACAACAAAGACAAATACATCCCATAGAGTCGGCAAAGACTGTTGGGGAAAGTGCTGTTAGCGATCACCTATTAAGGCTAAAACGGCGCACGAGCAGGTAGCGTTTTCAGCACCACGCCCGGCCACCTTTGTCCCCCAGTGCTGATGTTTAAACACCGCAGTGGGTTCTCATTTGAAGCCGAGTCGACCCAGTAGAGGGCGGGGACAATGTCTGAGATGCAAATGCCACTCGCCATTGGCGTTAGGATCGAACTCTGTTCGCCGGGTTAGTGGTGCAGTGCGCTAAACCACCTGCGCCACCGCTCCCCACACACAAAGACACACAGAGACACACTCGCAGAAGGCACTTAGACCCAGAGTGGAGACCCCACGCGGTGCAGAGAAGTGAGGTCACCTGCACAGCACAGGTGTGTCCAGGTAAAGCTGGAGGCTGAGAGGCCTTTCCCGCTCCCCTCTCCCACTACCATCCCTCCCCGTGCTCAGTTTTGCTTCCAGGAGAAAATAAAGTGTTGAGCGGGAGCACCACCTAAAGTGCTGGGATGGGGGCCGCCCATAGTCACACTCCACTCCCAACTCACACTCCACCCATAGTCACACTCCACTCCCAACTCACACTCCACCCATAGTCACACTCCACTCCCAACTCACACTCCACCCATAGTCACACTCCACTCCCAACTCACACTCCACCCATAGTCACACTCCACTCCCAACTCACACTCCACCCATAGTCACACTCCACTCCCAACTCACACTCCACCCATAGTCACACTCCACTCCCAATTCACACTCCACCCATAGCCACACTCCACTCCCAACTCACACTCCACCCATCGTCACACTCCACTCCCAACTCACACTCCACCCATAGTCACACTCCACTCCCAACTCACACTCCACCCATAGTCACACTCCACTCCCAATTCACACTCCACCCATAGCCACACTCCACTCCCAACTCACACTCCACCCATCGTCACACTCCACTCCCAACTCACACTCCACCCATAGTCACACTCCACTCCCAACTCACACTCCACCCATAGTCACACTCCACTCCCAACTCACACTCCACCCATAGTCACACTCCACTCCCAATTCACACTCCACCCATAGCCACACTCCACTCCCAACTCACACTCCACCCATAGTCACACTCCACTCCCAACTCACACTCCACCCATAGTCACACTCCACTCCCAACTCACACTCCACCCATAGTCACACTCCACTCCCAATTCACACTCCACCCATAGCCACACTCCACTCCAAACTCACACTCCACCCATCGTCACACTCCACTCCCAACTCACACTCCACCCATAGTCACACTCCACTCCCAACTCACACTCCACCCATAGACACACTCCACTCCCAACTCACACTCCACCCATAGTCACACTCCACTCCCAACTCACACTCCACCCATAGCCACACTCCACTCCCAACTCACACTCCACCCATAGCCACACTCCACTCCCAACTCACACTCCACCCATAGTCACACTCCACTCCCAACTCACACTCCACCCATAGTCACACTCCACTCCCAACTCACACTCCACCCATAGTCACACTCCACTCCCAACTCACACTCCACCCATAGTCACACTCCACTCCCAACTCACACTCCACCCATAGCCACACTCCACTCCCAACTCACACTCCACCCATAGTCACACTCCACTCCCAACTCACACTCCACCCATAGTCACACTCCACTCCCAATTCACACTCCACCCATAGCCACACTCCACTCCAAACTCACACTCCACCCATCGTCACACTCCACTCCCAACTCACACTCCACCCATAGTCACACTCCACTCCCAACTCACACTCCACCCATAGTCACACTCCACTCCCAACTCACACTCCACCCATAGTCACACTCCACTCCCAATTCACACTCCACCCATAGTCACACTCCACTCCCAACTCACACTCCACCCATAGCCACACTCCACTCCCAACTCACACTCCACCCATAGTCACACTCCACTCCCAACTCACACTCCACCCATAGTCACACTCCACTCCCAACTCACACTCCACCCATAGTCACACTCCACTCCCAACTCACACTCCACCCATAGTCACACTCCACTCCCAACTCACACTCCACCCATAGCCACACTCCACTCCCAACTCACACTCCACCCATAGTCACACTCCACTCCCAACTCACACTCCACCCATAGTCACACTCCACTCCCAACTCACACTCCACCCATAGTCACACTCCACTCCCAACTCACACTCCACCCATAGCCACACTCCACTCCCAACTCACACGCCACCCATAGTCACACTCCACTCCCAACTCACACTCCACCCATAGTCACACTCCACTCCCAACTCACACTCCACCCATAGCCACACTCCACTCCCAACTCACACTCCACCCATAGTCACACTCCACTCCCAACTCACACTCCACCCATAGTCACACTCCACTCCCAACTCACACTCCACCCATAGCCACACTCCACTCCCAACTCACACTCCACCCATAGTCACACTCCACTCCCAACTCACACTCCACCCATAGTCACACTCCACTCCCAACTCACACTCCACCCATAGTCACACTCCACTCCCAACTCACACTCCACCCATAGTCACACTCCACTTCCAACTCACACTCCACCCATAGCCACACTCCACCAACCAACAATCCACCCACACCCGTACGCTCCGCGTGTGCGGCCGTCGGTACAACGTGGATCGCGTGGCCCTCTCTGCTCAGTCTCATCGCGCTACGTGGGATGAGACTGCGGGATGACACCTTGGAGGTGACGAGGTGTCGACTGTGAAGCAGCTGCCAAATCTGGCAGACGCAAGGAAGCCATAGCGAGGTGCGGTGGTAGTGGCATTTACTGCCGTGACCTCTTGACCTTGATGCCTCTTCAACCAATCCGAGCAGCCGACTGTGAATGGGGGGGAGGGGGGCACTGTTTGGGAGGCGGCACTGTTGTTTATCGGCTGGGGGGGGGGTATGGACCTCCCCCTGTCGTCACCCACCACCAACACCCCCCACCACCAACATCCCCCACCATCACGTGACAATTTCACACTGACCCCCACCCCCGTGATCACGTCTCAATATCATCCGAAACTCCACGTCCCTTTGCTCACGCGTGCATTGACATCCACAACAGCGGTGGTGGAAATTCCACATTGCTACGACGGGAGCGAGTCCATCTCACATGTTTAACCATCGTTGATTACATTCGGAGACCGTCAACTCCCCAATTACGAGAGTTCCCCCCCCCCCGCCCCTTAGTAGCTCGCCACCGCCACCACCGCCACCGCCGCCACCACCCCCTTGAGAGCCTCACTTCTACCGGGCGCACTTCCGCGAAGCCCGCGCCTTCCCTGCCTGGTGGGGGTGGGACGCGCGCCCGGGGGGGCCCGGGGGAGGCGGGGCAGCGTGCCGGGGCAGGTCGGGCAGGGGCAACGCGAGCACGGCGATGGGGATGCAGCCCGGGGGCAGCCCCGCGGGGGCAGGCTGCCCCGGGGCGAAGGGGAAGATCTGGTAGCCGGCCGAGCAGAGGGTAGGCAGCGCGTCGTCCGGCCTGTGGGCAGCGGTGCATCAGCAGCAGCGTCAGAAGGATAATCCGGATAATGTCAAGGCATCATGATCATCATGTACGACGCCTTAAGTAGCAGCAGCAGCAGCATCGTAAATCATAATCAACAGCAGCAGCAGCATCAACAGTTATGAGATCGATCGAGGTGCATCATCGCCAAGAGATCCCCTGCTGCCTCCCGTGTCCCCTCGTGCCCCTCTGCCTGCCCCAGGTCTCCAGGTATGTTGAATTCTTTCGCACAGTACGGAGCCAATCGTGCTAATCGGAGGTGCGGGGAATGACAACAAAGGTGCATGTCTCCCGTGTCCCCTCGGTGATCACGTGTCACCTCGGCCTCCCGTGTCCCCTCCTGTCCGCCCGTGTCCCCTCGGTCTCCCGTGTCCCCTCGGTCTCCCGTGTCCCCTCGGTCTCCCGTGTCCCCTCGGTGATCACGTGTCCCCTCGGTCTCCCGTGTCCCCTCGGTCTCCCGTGTCCCCTCGGTCTCCCGTGTCCCCTCGGTCTCCCGTGTCCCCTCGGTCTCCCGTGTCCCCTCGGTCTCCCGTGTCCCCTCCTGTCCGCCCGTGTCTCCCACGTGCCCCGTGTCTGCCACGTACCGCACCCCCCCCCCACTCCGTACGTCCCCGTGCCCCCCCCCCCGCTCACCCGTGGAAGCCGACGTTGTCGTACCCGCGCCCCCGCGCGCGCTCCCTCCCCGTGCGCCCTCCCACCTCTCGCTCCTCCACGAACTCCATACTGGGGGCGGGGTTGAGAGGGGGGGTGAGAGGGGGGTGATGGGGGGATGAGGTTGGTGGGGGGCGAGTGGAGGGATTTCGGAGTGAGCGGTGGGTGGACACCCATGTGTTCCAACTCTTTGTATTCGCTGCATGAACAACAACCAAGGCACAGATCCCCGGCGTAGCCTACACAGGCTGTGAGCGAGCGCCTATTAAGTGAGACCTGCACGTGGGTGGCCGCTGGACAGAACCACGCCCAGCCGCCTTTGCCTCTCCAACATTGATGTTTACACACGGCACCAAGTACTCATTTAAGGCTAAGTCGACTTCGAGGAGGCCCAGACCCGGTTTAAACATCACTTGCCACTGATGTTGGCCATGGCCAGGAGTCGAACATAAGTAGCCGGGTTCGTAGCGCGGCGAGCTAACCACTGCGCCACCGCTCACCAACGTGGGAACACCGCACCACAGCTTTCTTTAGTTTACAGTGAGGGAAAAAACTATTTGATCCCCTGCTGATTTTGTACGTTTGCCCACTGACAAAGAAATGATCAGTCTATAATTTTAATAGTAGGTTTATTTACAGTGAGAGACAGAATAACAACAAAAAGATCAAGAAAAACGCATATCAAAAATGTTATAAATTGATTTGCATTTAAATGAGGGAAATAAGTATTTGACCCCCTCTCAATCAGAAATATTTCTGGCTCAAGCTGAGATTAGGAGCACTCTCTTTAAGAGTGTGCTCCTAATCTCAGCTCGTTACCTGTATAAAAGACACCTGTCCACAGAAGCAATCAATCAATCAATCAGATTCCAAACTCTCCACCATGGCCAAGACCAAAGAGCTCTCCAAGGATGTCAGGGACAAGATTATAGACCTACACAAGGCTGGAATGGGCTACAAGACCATTGACAAGCAGCGTGGTGAGAAGGTGACAACAGTTGGTGCGATTATTCGCAAACAAAAGAACTGTCAATCTCCCTCGGCCTGGGGCTCCATGCAAGATCTCACTTCGTGGAGTTGCGATGATCATGAGAACCGTGAGGAATCAGCCCAGAACTACACGGGAGGATCTTGTCAATGATCTCAAGGCAGCTGGGACCATAGTCACCAATAAAACAATTGGTAACACACTACGCCGTGAAGGACTGAAATCCTGCAGCACCCCCAAGGTCCCCCTGCTCAAGAAAGCACATATACATGCCCGTCTGAAGTTTGGCAATGGACATCTGAATGATTCAGAGGACAACTGGGTGAAAGTGTTGTGGTCAGATGAGACCAAAATTGAGCTCTTTGGCATCAACTCAACTCGCCGTGTTTGGAGGAGGAGGAATGCTGCCTATGACCCCAAGAACACCATCCCCACCGAAAACATGGAGGTGGAAACATTATGCGTTGGGGGTGTTTTTCTGCTAAGGGGACAATACATCTTCACCGCATCAAAGGGACGATGAACGGGGCCATGTACCGTCAAATCTTGGGTGAGAACCTCCTTCCCTCAGCCAGGGCATTGAAAATGGGTAATGGATGGGTATTCCAGCATGACAATGACCCAAAACACACGGCCAAGGCAACAAAGGAATGGCTCAAGAAGAAGCACATTAAGGTCCTGGAGTGGCCTAGCCAGTCTCCAGACCTTAATCCCATAGAAAATCTGTGGAGGGAGTTGAAGGTTCGAGTTGCCAAACGTCAGCCTCGAAACCTTAATGACTTGGAGAAGATCTGCAAAGAGGAGTGGGACAAAATCCCTCCTGAGATGTGTGCAAACCTGGTGGCCAACTACAAGAAACGTCTGACCTCTGTGATTGCCAACAAGGGTTTTGTCATCAAGTACTAAGTCATGTTTTGCAGAGGGGTCAAATACTTATTTCCCTCATTAAATTGCAAATCAATTCATAACATTTTTGACATGCGTTTTTCTGGATTTTTTTTGTTTTTATTCTGTCTCTCACTGTTTAAATAAACCTACCATTAAAATTATAGACTGATCATTTCTTTGTCAGTGGGCAAACGTACAAAATCAGCAGGGGATCAAATACTTTTTTCCCTCACTGTAACCACCGCCATTGAACTCCATACCCAGTAACATTCTGGTACTCCAAGGAAGGGCCATTTCCGGAAACGTCGTCTCTTATATAAATGTTTTAAAGCCACAGTGTTGACACGGGGAGTGTTGGGTCGCTGTCGTCGATATTGGCTGTGCTTGTGCATCACTGCCAACACAGCAATCCCGAGGTCATTTGTCCTGTTGCTGAGCTCATTGTGGCGAGGTCACTGGGCGCCACGGTGGCGAGATGTTAACTACCTCGCCTGGTGTACAGGAGGTCGTCGATTCAATGACAACCCTGGCAGCTGTATATTTGGAGTCTGCATGGTCTCCTCGTGGTCGCGTTTAGAGTATTTGGTTGATATAAATTCCCACGCGATAAGCCAACTTCGTTGAGCTGTCATTTGTGGTTCAGGTCTCTTCTGAAAAAGAGCTATATAGCTCAGTGGGCCTTACTTGGTAAAATAAAAAGTAAAATCGCTTGATAGTTTAAGACCGCAGGAGCTTCTACCTCCGGGGTTCGATTCCGGCTCGGCCTCTGCGAACGCCGTGGTGCCCGGAGCACTCCCGCTCCTCCAGGTGCTCCTCCGGGTGCCCCCCTCCGTGCCCCGCTCCGTGACCCCCCTCGTGCCTCTCTCCGTGACCCCCTCCGTGACCCCCCCCCGTGCCCCTCTCCGTGACCCCCCTCGTGCCGCCGCTGCTGCTGCCGCTGCTGCTGATGTCGCAGGCGACGGTTGCGCAGGCAGCAGGAGACGAAGGCGGTGGAGAGGACGAGGATGAGGGCGCCGCTCACCACGGAAGCCAGCACGGCCACGCGGTACCCCATCTCGTCCTCTAGGGGGACGGCGGCAGGGCCAGGGGGTGAAGGCAGGCGCAGCGTCATTGCCCTGGGTGCCGTGGTGGTTATATACACACCGAGTGTGTGGCACGAATAGGGCATCCGCCACGTGTTTGGAAGGTATCCGACACTCACCGGGAGGTGTTCATACCGGGGGGGGGGGGGGAGTATTTACACGGGGGAGGCGGGGGGCTATTTACACCTGGGGGGTGTCCACTCTGTGAGAACCCCGCAGCTGCTTGCGTAGGGGAGCTACGCTGACACAAACTTGGGGGGGGGGGGGGGGGCGGGTGGGGGGGTAGGCACCTGAGTATAGTGCGGTAGTTCTAGGTGTCCGAGACAGGTGTTGGCACGTGCTAGAATCCTGACACGTGTTGTGGGGTATGGGGTAGTCACCCAGACACGTGTTGCAGTGTCTCTCCTAGGATGGTAGCGCAGCTACTCTGACACGGAGGAGGAGGAGGGGGGGGGTGTCCTGGGTTACCCTGGCAGACGGGCGGGGTTGCGCTCCACGTGGGGGTCCCGTCCCGCAGGGAGCACGTGATGCGCGCCCCCCCCACGAGGCGGTACCCCGCGCGGCACGCGAACAGCAGCACCGCTCCCGGGGCCAGCGCCCCCCCCGCCGTGCCGACCCCCGCCAGCGACTCGTTCCGCGACTCCAGAGAGAGCCAGCCCCCCAAGGGGGGCGCCACGTCGGGGCACGAGACCCCCTCGCCTGGGGTGGAGCTCCCAGACCGGGGGGGGGGGGGGGGCAGTAGGGGTGGGTACGGGACATGGGACAAAGTCAAGGGGTGTGGGGGCCCGTGTGGATGTAGAGTGGGGATCGATGAGTGGGGATCGAGAAAGGGGGCCTCGAACCGCGCCCTACCGCCTCCCTAGGCATCCCTGTTTGTTGTTGTGGTGGTTTAAGAGGCAAGGCGGCGAAGTGCACGGCATCATCATCGTTATCATCGTCATCATCATCATCATCGTGTTTACCATCATCACAATCCTCCCCGTCCAATCATCATCGTCACCGTAATCCTCCCTCACAATGGCAGCCTCCTTCTCATCACCATCCTCCATTCCACCATCAACATCACCACCATCAACATCACCACCATCAACATCACCACCATCAACATCACCACCAGCAACATCACCACCATCAACATCACCACCATCAACATCACCACCAGCAACATCACCACCAGCAACATCACCACCAGCAACATCACCATCAACATCACTACCATCAACATCACCATCAGCAACATCACCACCATCCTCCATTCTACCATCAACATCATCACCATCAACATCACCACCATCAACATCACCACCATCAACATCACCACCAGCAACATCACCACCATCAACATCACCACCATCAACATCACCACCATCAACATCACCACCAGCAACATCACCACCATCAACATCACCACCATCAACATCACCACCAGCAACATCACCACCATCAACATCACCACCAGCAACATCACCACCAACAACATCATCACCAGCAACATCATCACCATCAACATCACCACCATCAACATCACCACCAGCAACATCACCAACATCAACATCACCACTAGCAACATCACCACCATCAACATCACCACTAGCAATATCACCACTAGCAACATCACCACCATCAACATCACCACCAGCAACATCACCACCAACAACATCATCACCAGCAACATCATCACCATCAACATCACCACCAGCAACATCACCATCAGCAACATCACCATCAGCAACATCACCACCATCAACATCACCACCAGCAACATCACCACCAACAACATCATCACCAGCAACATCACCACCATCAACATCACCACCAGCAACATCACCATCAGCAACATCACCACCATCACCACCAACAACATCATCACCAGCAACATCATCACCAGCAACATCACCACCACCACCCACCATCCTCCTCCTCGGTCGCTATCAATGTAGGCCACAGCTTAAGTGGCACAAGTGCCCCCCGCTGTGACCTGAGCTCTCCTTGCCCCCCCCCCCAATCCGCTTAGCTGGGGGGGGGGGGGGAGGTGAGGGAGGTGGAAGTGGTGGCACAGAGTGTCCGCTGCCCTCCAGATAACCATGGCGGGAAGGCCCCCGATAACTCTGTGCCAGGGCTTGGTGTCACACTCGAGATGTGACTGCGTTGCTGGCGTAGACTGCGGTAAGTGGCGAGGTGACTCGGAGTAGGCACAAGTCCATCGCGAGAGCTACAGTGAGGGAAAAAAATATTTGATCCCCTGCTGATTTTGTACGTTTGCCCACTGACAAAGAAATGATCAGTCTATAATTTTAATGAATATTTGAACAGTGAGAGACAGAATAACAACAAAACAATCCAGAAAAACGCATTTCACAAATGTTATAAATTGATTTGCATTTTAATGAGGGAAATAAGTATTTGACCTCCTCTCAATCAGAAAGATTTCTGGCTCCCAGGTGTATTTTATATAGGTAACGAGCTGAGATTAGGAGCACACTCTTAAAGGGAGTGCTCCTAATCTCAGCTTGTTACCTGTATAAAAGACACCTGTCCACAGAAGCAATCAATCAATCAGATTCCAAACTCTCCACCATGGCCAAGACCAAAGAGCTCTCCAAGGATGCCAGGGACAAGATTGTAGACCTACACAAGGCTGGAATGGGCTACAAGACCATTGCCAAGCAGCTTGGTGAGAAGGTGCCAACAGTTGGTGCGATTATTCGCCAATGGAAAAAACACAAAAGAACTGTCAATCTCCCTCGGCCGGGGCTCCATGCGAGATCTCACCTCGTGGAGTTGCAATGATCATGAGAACGGTGAGGAATCAGCCCAGAACTACACGGGAGGATCTTGTCAATGATCTCAAGGCAGCTGGGACCATAGTCACCAAGAAAACAATTGGTAACACACTACGCCGTGAAGGACTGAAATCCTGCAGCACCTGCAAGGTCCCCCTGCTCAAGAAAGCACATATACATGCCCGTCTGAAGTTTGCCAATGAACATCTGAATGATTCAGAGGACAACTGGGTGAAAGTGTTGTTGTCAGATGAGACCAAAATGGAGCTCTTTGGCATCAACTTAACTCGCCGTGTTTGGAGGAGGAGGAATGCTGCCTATGATTCCAAGAACACCATCCCCACCGTCAAACATGGAGGTGGAAACATTATGCTTTGGGGGTGTTTTTCTGCTAAGGGGACAAGACAACTTTACCGCATCAAAGGGACGATGGACGGGGCCATGTACCGTCAAATCTTGGGTGAGAACCTCCTTCCCTCAGCCAGGGCATTGAAAATGGGTCGTGGATGGGTATTCCAGCATAACAATGACCCAAAACACACGGCCAAGGCAACAAAGGAGTGGCTCAAGAAGAAGCACATTAAGGTCCTGGAGTGGCCTAGCCAGTCTCCAGACCTTAATCCCATAGAAAATCTGTGGAGGGAGATGAAGGTTCGAGTTGCCAAACGTCAGCCTCGAAACCTTTATGACTTGGAGACGATCTGCACAGAGGAGTGGGACAAAATCCCTCCTGAGATGTGTGCAAACCTGGTGGCCAACTACAAGAAACGTCTGACCTCTGTGATTGCCACCAAGTACTGAGTCATGTTTTGCAGAGGGGTCAAATACTTATTTCCCTCATTAAAATGCAAATCAATTTATAAAAATTTTGACATGCGTTTTTACGGATTTTTTTGTTGTTATTCTGTCTCTCACTGTTCAAATAAACCTACAATTAAAATTATAGACTGATCATTTCTTTGTCAGTGGGCAAATGTACAAAATCAGCAGGGGATCAAATACTTTTTTCCCTCACTGTATACTGGATGTGGAGTGCCGCCAGCCGCGCTATTTCACTGTCGGCCTTGAACTCCACTCGCGACGCCATGCATCACCCCTCTATATAAGGAACAGAACTGGTGGACTTATCCATAAATCTGGCTGTCGCCTGATGAAGCTAGTTGTAATTACTGGCGAAACGTCGTACTCAGATTGTAAATGTTGTGGCTTGGCTCTCCAACACACTGGTGTGCTGTACTAGTGACGAATTGGCACGTTCTGTTTACGTGACAACCCTTACTAGTTGGCTGTGGCCGGTTTGAACGACACATTTATATAAAAGATCTCACCCAAAAAACCTCTATCATGGATATACACATATAGTTCCCACCGCAAACACCAAACCAACTCCCTCACCAACCCACTCACTAACTCACCAACCCACTCACTAATGCACTCATCAACCTATTTACAAACTCACCGAGCAACCTACTCACTAAACTCAATCATCAAACTACTCACGAACCGACTAGCCTATGTACTCAACAACCTGCTCACTAAACTCACCAAAGTCACTGACTCACCAAACGACTCACCAAGCACTCACTAACTCACCAACCGGATTACTAACTCACTCCCCAATCTACTCACTAAACACACTCACCAACCCACTCATGAACTCACCAATCTACCCACTCACTAACTCACCAACCCACTCACTAACTCACCAACCCACTCACTAACTCACCAACCCACTCACTAACTCACCAATCTACCCACTCACTAACTCACCAATCTACCCACTTACTAACTCACCAACCCACTCACTAACTCACCAATCTACCCACTCACTAACTCACCAACCCACTCACTAACTCACCAACCCACTCACTAACTCACCAATTTACCCACTCACTAACTCACCAACCCACTCACTAACTCATCAACCCACTCACTAAATCACCAACCCACTCACTAACTCACCAATCTACCCACTCACTAACTCACCAATCTACCCACTCACTAACTCACTCACCAACTCACTCACTAACTCGCCAACCCACTCACTAACTCACCAACCCACTCACTAACTCACCAATCTACTCACTAACTCACCAACCCACTCACTAACTCACCAACTCACTAACTCACTCACCAACCCACTTACTAACTCACTCACCAACCTACTTACTCTCCAACCTACCCACCCATCTACCCACTCACCAATCTTACAGTACGTCCTCACCAACTCACCGACCTGCTCACCCAGCCTGGACAGTCCCCCCTTGGCGTCTGTGCCACGTACCTATCGTGAAGAGCGCGGGCGGCGCAGGGTCCGTGGGAAGGGGTCCCCTCTCACGCCCCGGGGGCGCCGGGGGGCCCAGGGGTCCGAGAGAACCGAGGGGACCCTGGGTCACCCTTCCGGCCACGTAGACCCCCTGCGAACCCAGCATCGCGAGCAGAGAGGGGAGAAGCAGAGGTCGCGTGGCGAGCATCGGTCCTGTGGGTCGGTGACGAGGGGGGAGGCGCAGCGAGAAACGGACGGAGTGGGCAGCGAGGGACGGGGCCAGTGGGCAGCGAGAAACGGGCGGAGTGGGCAGCGAGAAACGGACGGAGTGGGCAGCGAGGGACGGGGCCAGTGGGCAGCGAGAGACGGGCGGAGTGGGCAGCGAGGGACGGGGCGAGTGGGCAGCGAGGGACGGGGGGAGTGGGCAGCGAGAGACGGGGCCAGTGGGCAGCGAGAGACGGGGCCAGTGGGCAGCGAGAGACGGGGCCAGTGGGCAGCGAGAGACGGGGGGAGTGGGCAGCGAGAGACGGGGCCAATGGGCAGCGAGAGACGGGGCCAGTGGGCAGCGAGAGACGGGGCCAGTGGGCAGCGAGAGATGGGGGGAGTGGGCAGCGAGGGACGGGGCCAGTGGGCAGCGAGAGACGGGACCAGTGGGCAGTGAGAGACGGGGCCAGTGGGCAGCGAGAGACGGGGCCAGTGGGCAGCGAGAGATGGGGGGAGTGGGCAGCGAGGGACGGGGCCAGTGGGCAGCGAGAGACGGGACCAGTGGGCAGTGAGAGACGGGGCCAGTGGGCAGCGAGAGACGGGGCCAGTGGGCAGCGAGAGACGGGACCAGTGGGCAGCGAGAGACGGGGGGAGGGCAACGAGAGACGGGGCCAGTGGGCAGCGAGAGACGGGGGGAGGGCAGCGAGAGACGGGGCCAGTGGGCAGCGAGAGACGGGGGGAGGGCAGCGAGAGACGGGGCCAGTGGGCAGCGAGAGACGGGGGGAGGGCAGCGAGAGACGGGGCCAGTGGGCAGCGAGCACAGATCGAGCAGGTGGCGAGTGCAGCACCCGGCGGAGTCGCCCCGCGACCACGCGCGAGAAGCGCAGCAGCTGAAGAAGCCTCGCACTGTGGACACGCGGCTGTCTACACGCGGCTGTGTACACCGGGCTGTGTTCACGGATCTCTTCTACCGCGTCCTCGAGTGGTGGATGAGAGCTCCTGAGCGCAGATGCTGCACCCCCCCCACCCACCCCCCTCCCTGCTACCCCCAAGCAGGCGTCCAGGACGCGGGGGAAGACGCGAGTCAGGGGTGGGGGGATTGGTCAATCGACTCCGGTAAATCCTCCACCCCACTCATCTCCCCCCACATCCCTCCATCCCACTCATCTCCCCCCACATCCCTCCATCCTACTCATCTTCCCCCACATCCCTCCATCCTACTCGTCACCCTCCTACCCTTTCTCCCCGCTCCCCCCCATAACGCCACCCTTTGCCCCCCCCCTCCCACCCCCCTCTCACCTCCCCCCCCGCCACCCTGACCCTGCAAGCCAAGTGGACCCTCCGGAGCGACTCGGGCTCACGGAGGCCGCGGCTTGCTCGGTGTGGGGGTCAGGGTTCGAGGCAGCTGTTGCTGTGAGGGTTATAGGGTCAGGGGTAAGAGATTGGGGGAAGAGTTCGAGACGAGATTAGGGGCAACTGGAGGTAAGGGGATAGGTTTAGGGGTAGAGTTAGGATTTAGGGTCAAGGGTCCCTGTCCCCCGTATTCCTCCCCCTAACCCCAACGAATCGATCAGAACACATATTCGATTACAATATATATTTAAGGTACCGTCTCGTTTGTATTGTTTCGCATCTGGTGGGAGCGGTGGCGCAATGGTTAGCGCACTGCGCTCTCACCCCGGCGACCTCGGCTCGATTTGCCACCGCAGCCATCATCAGCGGCGGCCACTCGACCGCCGCCCCCCTTCCTCGAGCCACGCCGACCAGTGTGGTGAAGTATGGCCAAAACGATCCCGGACCGCTGACACGGTGAAAGGAGGGGAGGGGCCTTAATCCAGCAGTGGATTAGAAAAGGATTGTAAATTATTAATATTTGTTTGCTATACATTTATGTTAAAATATATGATAGTAATACAATAAATTATGAAAAAAATAGGTATATATTTCTGTGCATCCCAATGGTATCAAATCAAAGTCAAAAGTTGATTCCTCAAGAAAATCACACGGAATTTAAAGGTATCAAATGTTTCCCGATTAACCCGAAGACGCCTTCACAGCCGAAACGTCGGTTGATAAAAAAAAGCGATTAATTAACCACACGCGCACACGCTCTTAAGTACGTATCGGTCAATAAACGACAGGGTTGTTAAACGATAACCGAGGGCCGTGTTCACAAGCCGCCACCGCTCCCGAGCTTGGGCACCTGGAGCTGGAGCAGCGTCGTCGAGAGACGCGCCGCGTTGCTTTCAACTGCCGCGCCGGGAGATACCGAGTCGGGCCGGCGGCTACCGTGGTGACCTCGTGACCCATCGACAGAGCCGCTGGTTAAACACCACGGCACGGCCGAGGATCGGGGAGAGAAGTTCGCTTCAGCACGGCACTCACCTGCGACCAGCGAGCTTCCGCGGATTTCGAATTCCGAAAGTCGCCAGCAACAGTCGGGTGGATGGCTCTGTCGGACGCGGCTCGTGGCAACCGCGACTTAGGACCAGAACCCGCGCTGCGATGCGAGCCAGGAGTCAATAATTAACCCCAACCATTAAAACCAAATTCCGATCGTTCACGCTGAAAAATCCTAACCGTTGGCCCTAAACCCCAACCCTTAAACTTAACCGTAGTCCCCAACCCCTAACTATACATCCTAAGCCCAAACTTAAACCCTAAACTCAAATCCTAAATCCGAACCCTTCACCATCAACCCTAACCTTGCACCCTAACCTTTAATCCTAATCCTTAACCCCCGGCTCTTAATTCTAAATCCGCGAAACAATACACCAGAATTCCTTAGTAGTGAAGAACCCAGAAGTATGTGTTTCAGAACACAAACGCTGGACTGGTTTTACCTTCCCGTGGCTCATCAGCAGCACAAGGTTCGCTCAACGAAAATACCGCTCGTTTACTCGGCCTTGTTATTGCGAGAGACCTCCCCCTATCCGTGGCCACACAAACAAGAACAAAGATCCCACGTCTCGCCTTGAACAGACTGTGGGCGCAAGTGCTGGTCGCGAGTAGCACCTATCAAGGCCGGCACTGCACACGAGGGGGTGGGTGGCCAGCACTACGCCCGGCCGCATTTGTCTCACCGAAGTGGCGATGTTTACACACTGCCACCAGGTACTCATTTGAGGTCGAGTGGACCTAGGGAAGCCCAGGACCGGTTCAAATAATCGTCACCGGTGTTGGCTGAGAGCGGGAATCGAACTCGCCAGGTTTGTAGTGCAGCGCGCTAACCGCTACAATACCGCTGCGTAGACACAGACAGTGCACACACACTACACACACACCACTACACTACATACACCACACACACACAACAACCGCCATTCGCCACGAAGTGGCGGTGACATCACCACGACGCTTGTGCCAGGCTATGTGCACCTTGAGGCCACGTGAAGTGTCGAACGCCTGCTGGCAGGTCACGGGGCAGACCCAGATACCACAGGTCGACTGGCTGATGAACCACCTATGCCCCCTACTGTGCCAACTTGCTGTGCTTTAGCCACCCGGCGCTCCGCTCGTTGTTGTGAGCGTCGCTCCTCCGCCCTCCGTTGCTGTTGGAGGGCGCCTGCCTCCAACTGCCCAGTAGCGGCCTTCACAAGCCTTCTCCACAGAGGCCGATCTTGACACCGCTGGTACCAGTCATCGGAAAGTCCACTCAGCTCCACGTCCTCCTGTACCACATCACTCCATCTCTTCTCTAGCCCGTGCCGCGCCCGTTTAGCCCCCTCGATCCGGCCGAACAAAAGCTGTTTAGGCATGCGGTGGCTGGGCATGCGGGCGACATGACCCAGCCAACGCAGCCTTGCCTGCCGGAGGAGCTCACCGATGGGACTTTGCCCAGATCTTTCAAGGATTTGTGAGCTCCTCACACAATCCAGCCTGGTTAAACCCAGGATGGATCGTGGACAGGCCAGCCTAAACTTTTCTAACTGGCGAAGATGTTCCATTACACACACACTACACACACACCAAACACACACAGGCACCACGGAGCGAGACAGGGAGGCCACCACAGTGGGGAGCGTGGGGCCCGGCCCGATGTTCAAGGTGAGCGTGGCGATACTCTTCAAGTCTGCAGATGATTACAGGGCAGCAGTATCTCTGTCACCGAGACTGCTGCGTGCACGCGCGGCGGCCACAGAACAATGGTGCTATTCATTAGGGGAGGTGCAAGGGTTAATTCCCCACCCGCCCCCTGCGATTCGATTAATTATCCGCGTCTCAAAGTAGTCGCGATTCAATTCAAGAACGCGGTGCAATTGGTTTGTCGCGGGAATCTATTGCATACGAAATGTTGCCATCATTGTCGTCAGCCATGGTCAATCCACCGCTGGATGAAGGCGTCTCCGAGTCATAATCGGGGGGGGGGGGGGGGGGGGGCATTTTCGCCAGGGTCAAGACGATGAATTATACAAAAGGCGCGGATTCAGGTGGAGGAGTCACCAATTACAAGGCACTGTGGTCTACACAACCACACGGCCTTGTGGTAAAACACGCGAACATACTTCAATAACGTACGCACGGCCCTTGCGCATGGGTTGACCCTGGAGACAGGGTACCACCGCTAGATCTGCTAAACCGGAGCTATTGATGCTTTGGTGTGTACATTGTCCTTGTACTGCTCGCCTTTTGGCATCCCCTTGTGGTCTAACACTGGCGAGACATTCCATAAAAGGTGCAGGCCAATCAGATTCGAGGACGGTGCATATTTGGAGGTGTGTGCGTGCGCGTGGTTGCCGATGCCTGATACTAGCAATGGTCAAGATCGGTCTCTGTGGAGGATGCTCGTGAAGGACGCTACTTCTGGGCAGTTGGAGGCAGTCGTCCTCCAGCAACAACGGAGGGCGGAGGAGCGACGCGCACAACAAGCAGAACGACGAGCAGAGCGCTGGGCGGCAAAAAACGCAGCAAGTTGGCACAGTAGGTGGCACAGGTGGTGCATCGGCCAGTCATCTCAGTCAACCCATGGCACCTGTGTCTGTCCCGTGACCTCCTGCCAGCGGGCGTTCGACATTTCACGTAGCCTTAAAGTGCACTTAGCCTGGTAAAGGTGCCGTGGTGAACGTCACCACTACTTGGTGGCCAATGGCGGTTGTTGTTGTTTGCACAGACGTGATGACGCGCCTTTTAATCGGTGTCAATTTTACGTTCAGACGTCTTGGACACCTCCTGGATCGACGCCAGCCAGGGTGACGTCGTTCAGTCATCCTCTCCCGAGTCGTCGCCAACGCTCCTTCTCGCGACCCTGTGATCTCACGATCCGGCGCCTGCGCATCACGATCCGACTTCACCGCTCCATCTCCGCGGTGAGCGAAGCCTCGCGGGCGCTTTCCACAGTCCCGGGTGCCGCGAGCTTGCCGCGAGCTTGCCGCTTGTTGCAGGGATTCGCGGTTCGCATCCGGACGGCCGGCCTGGTTAATGCTGCAGTGGGTGGGTCTATGGACCTTCGTATATTTCAGACCATTTACATCGCAGTGGATATTAAAAAAAAAACCTAAATCTTTGCCACGTAAATTTTTGCACCTTCAAGGTGCTTACCCTATACTCCTTCAGTCTGACCAAGAGTTTCACCCAACACAACCTCCTCCGGATTACATCTACACTTTCCTGCCACGTTCCAAACAGACATGACCATCGCCACCATCACCACTCAACGCTGCGACAAGTGGCATCTTTATTCCATTCAACGAACGTTTGTTTACATCTCATATCCCCGTTTTTTTTTAAATGATCCTGGACCCCGCACGAACACATGCACGCACCAGACCGAGCGCGAACATCGACAAAGCGCAGAGGACGGATGGACAGACAGACGGACGCGGGGTGGATCCGGAGTCGCGATGATGGCTATCCACCCCGGGCTTTGGTAAAAATCGAAGACTATCGCGAGCCGGGGGCGGCTGTGAAGTCCCCCCCCCCCCCCCCCCGTGAAACTAACGCGAGAGCGAAGAGGCCAATTAGAGATTAGCACTAACAAAGCTAACCAATCAGAGATAAGTGCGTTCATAACTAGCCAATTAGAGATTAACCATAACCACGATAGACTGGCCTTAGCGCTAACCAAACTGGCCAATCATAGATTAGCACAAACATAACTAGCCAGTTAACGATTAGCGACAGCCATATTGGTTCTAACCTCATGAGCCAATCAGATAATAGATTTAGCCACAATAGCCAATCAGATCGTGGCTATAGCTGCACGACGTGATCGTGATAAGATCATTGCTCTGAGCATACCAGCCAATCAGATCATTTTTCTGAGCACACTCGCCCGAGACAAGCACCAGCCTGGCCATGCTAGCCAATCATAGGCTAGTGCTAACCCACAGCACACTGGCCAATTAGATGCAAGCCCTCTCCACTTGCTACGCGGGGGAGTTCACAGCGCCCAGCCACATGCAGAGGAAACGCGAGTTCCTGGGTTAAAATCCCGACAACAAAGACGCACACACATAACACGCACACACATAACACACACACACACAATGCACACACACACACATAACACACACAGAATGCACACACACACATAATGCACACACACAATGCACACACACACATATTGCACAGGCTTCTCACCAGCACTACCCACACTCTACACATACACTAACCCTACCCATAATCCTAACACTACCCATACACTAACACCACCCATAACCCTACCCAAAATCCTAACACTATCCATAACCCTACCCATAATCCTAACAATAGCCATACACTAACACTACCCCTACCCTTACCCTATGCATAAAACTACGACTCTCCATACATCACCACACACACAGTACCCATACATTGACTATCCCTGACTCTGCCCCCTGACCTTACGTCAAACTGTACGTACCCTTATCCGTAACCCGAACCCCTAATTCGACGCAACATCATCGCCATCATCATTGTCGTTTTAAAAAAGTGGATTCGTGCTCAACTGAGCATTGAGGCACTAGTAGCCATTCCCTGTTTTTAGCCCCGCCAGAGTCGGGGGTGGAAGCTCCACGTCCCCCAATGCGGGGGCCGAGTCTTTACAACCCGAAAACTGCTGTGGATCGACTCCTCCACAAAGCGGCACTCATTTCATCGACCCCGGAGGGATGATGATGGGCCGAGGCGACCCCGCAGCCGGGATGTGAACTCACCGCCGTCGCGAGCCACTGGCTTTGCCCACCGAGGCACCCGGCCGGCCCCGTCAGCGCGAGAGGAGGTGGATTTGCAATTGCAGGACACTTCCTTCAATACCCCAGCATCCCGACGCATCTTACACCTTGCCGCAACGATCCCGGCGCCCTGCCGTAGTTTGATCGATCGTAGTCGTCATCGTCAACATATCTGTGCCAATACTGAGGCACGTGTTTCCATGCCAAGTAGGGGCCGTTTGGCAACGCTCCATTGCTCCGCCGGTCCTAATCCGGCGGTTGACATTCCGCATTCCTATGGCAGGACCGAGTCGACCCCCCTCGCGACACGGGACGATCACCACGATCTTCCCTTTGAGCAGCGCAGCTCGGCAGATGGTGGGTCGCGACCGTCGTGACTCGGACGCTACGACAGCTGTGCAATGACTGTCGGTACATCATCGCCGTCATCGGCATCGTTGGCACCATCAGTAACCATCCATACCATTTGCATCATCCGTACCATTACCATTGGCACTATCAGTACCATCAGCACCAACAGCGTGATCAGTACCGTCATCGCCAGTGTCGCTGGGTACCACCAAAAACGATGGCCTCCATTCGCCACCAAGTGACGGTGACGTCACCACAGCGCTTGTCCCAGGCTAGGCGCACTTCGAGTCCGCATGAAGAAGCGTCGAATGTACCGTCGACGGCATCATCGTCATCGCCGTCGTCGCCACCGCCATCAGTCGGCACCATTGGGTCCCGCCTCTGGCCCGTCGCCGTCCTCGTCGTCGTCCGAGAAGCTGTCGTCCTCGTCGACGGCGTCGACGCCCGGCACCTGGCCCAGCGCCGCCTGCTCCAGCGCGCGTCTCCACGCGAGGAGCCGTTCGTCCGTGTCGGCCGAGAGGCCCAGGCGACGCTGCGACTGCGCCAGGACGAGCGCCCGCCGGCCGTCCACGCCGTCGCCCACCGCCGGCGGCCGCACCTCGTAGCCCGGCAGGGGCAGCGTCCTGAGCGCCCTCACGTCCTGGGGGTGCACGCACACGGACGTGCGCTCAACCACCTCGCCTGGTGTGCAGGAGGACGCCTGCCGGATATTTGGAGTTTGCGTTTCTCTCCCTGTGGCCGCGTGGATTTTTCTTTGGGGCCTTCCCGGTTTGTCCCCTCGACATTTAGAATCAATGTGCCCTTAAGAGAATGTGGCCACTAGACATTTCCGCACGGTGACAGGCCACTTCTCGTTGGGCTATTATTTGAGAGAGCCAGGTCGCTTCTGAAAAAGAGCTACGTAGCTCAGTGGACCTTACCTGGTAAAATAAACATAGATCAGTTTACACGGTGTACTCCACTGGGAGGCAGCGGGTGGGAGGCAGTGGTTAGCTGCGTTGGGTGGTGGGGGCAGTGGGTGGCGGTGGTTAGCAGAGGGGGGGCAGCGGTTAGTGGAGGGGGGCGCTGGCACCTGCGGAGCGGCGTAGACGTAGAGCACGAGCGGGTCGCTGCGCGGGATGACGCACCACACGCGCGCCCAGCTCTGCCGCCCGCCACACTCCAAGAAGTGCAGCGAGCCGCAGATGATGCTCTCCCGTGTCGCCTCCTCGGCACTCTGCTTCTAACGGTGTGGTGGGTGGGAGGGGAGAGACGGTGACTGAAATGTTTCCCAATCTGGTGAAACAATCGGAATAGTGTGTTTTACCCTTTCTGGCAATAAAAGAGGTGTTAAGATGTTCAAACACCAAACAGAAACCTTTTTTGCAAGGCATCAAGTCTGCATTAACCACACGTTCTTGTGGCAAAACAAACATGCCTGAAAATATACGCATTCTCTTTGAATCTGATTGGCCTACACCAGAGACAGCCTTCCTTATGGCCTCGTTTCAGCAGTGTTAGACCAGAGCACACGAAGCCGGAGGGTGGTGGCTACGCCCCACGTGGCTGCGAACGCTGTGGAGGCAGCCAGCAGCGAGGAGGAGCTGTACCCCGGCTCGCCAGGAGGAGGCGGTACAGCAAGTGGACGAATCTCCATCTGTTTCCATCTGTACGGGGATGGAGCGTTGTACCCCATCCGCAAGCTCTGGTTTCCTCCCACTCAACTAACTGGCCTAACGTATCTTAAAATAAAAACCTAATACAGCGGCGGCGGCAGCAGCAGCAGGACCCTCCTGAAAACAGTCCTAGGCCTCGGTGTGGGCTCTCCTGGCTAAATAAGGGACGTGCGCGAGAGTCGCCAAAAACTACAAAAAATCACGTGCAGCAACGAAGCAAAAAGCAATCGGAGAAAAGAAAAAAAACGCATCACACGAGGAATCTAACGCATCGCAAACACAACGGCACAGCAGCCCGGGGCGACGGGCGCACAAGCGAAGGGTGCGGCGTGACACGGGGGAGCCGGCCGCACCTGCAGGATGTTGCGGTTCTTGATGGCCGCCGTGCTGGTGCGCGCCTCCTCGGTGAGCTGCGCGTAGCAGGCCTCGCACACCCGCTGCAGCTTGCGCGGCTCGTACGCCAGCAGCACGCGGTGGTCCGAGCACTTCCAGCACACCACCTGCGGGGCGAGCACACCGCACACGGCGTCGCCCATTAGCACGCTCGGCTGCGTACGGTGCGAAAGAACTTTGCGCACGTTGACTACCTCGCTTGGTCTACGGGAGGTCGTGGGTTCGATCCCGACCCTGACGCCCGCTGCTGTATATTTGGAGTTTGCGGTGTCTCTCTCCCCGTGGTCACGTGGATTTTTCTCCAGGTCCTCCGGGGTTTTCCCTCCACATTTAGAATCAACATCACCACGTGTTTTAGAGTATTTGGCTGCAATAAATGTACACAGTGATAAGCTACTTCGTTGAGCTGTCATTTGTGACCAGGTCGTCTCTGAAATTGAGACGACCTGCTAAAATAAAATACATACACCACGTGGGGGGGGGGGGGGGCACGCCGCACCTTCCCGCAAGCGCGGCAGTGGTGGCGCCTGCGCGTGAGCGTCGTGAACGGGTCCTGGCAGGTCATGCACAGCGTGACGTTGACGTCGCGCACCCACATGGGGGCACGCTGGCCCAGCTCCATGCCCTGGGTCGCGGGGGGGCTCTGAGGGGGGAGGGGAGGTCAAGCAAAGACACGGACACTTAGTGACACATAGAGACACAGTCTTACGGAAGGGCAGACTTCCATAAGAGACCCACACCACAGACTTCCATAGAGACACAAAGAATTCCACAGAGACCCGTAGACTTGCATGACGACCCACAGACTTAGACATCAATAGACTTACGCAAAGACGCAGCTGAGTGTTTTGCGGTGTAATTTTTCTGATTTGGCAAATCTGCATCGCGACGCGGGTACACAGTGGCCGAGTGCTCGTTTCGATTGACGTCACGGGACCTTTAACGTGCACCACAAAGGAGACGGCGAGTACGAATTCACGGTTACCACACCGCACGGCATTAACCAGGGCAGCCTGCCGGAGCCTAACCGCCAAACCTCTGCAACGAGCGCCAAACGCGCGACCGCTGGGCCACGTCGGAGACATTCGCAGCAAAAAGAAATGCGCAGCATCAGCCGTCATCGTTCCGCTCGTCGCTGGCTCACCGACACGCTGGGGCCCTCGACCACGTCCTTCTTGTGGCCCATGAAGGTCTCCTCCTTCTCGCGGAACGTCTTTATCACCTCGTTAATGGCCTGGAAGTGTGGCACCAGGGTTGCACCGTCAGGGTCGGACCAACCGAACGTGAGCCCCGAACCCAGGGTCCGTCTACGGCTCGTGCGTGCGTGTGCGTGCGTGCGTTAGTGACACTGGGTGGCACTATAGTGGTGTTTGTAGTCGAGATAAGGCACGTTTCTGGGAGGCTCAACCATGACACGTGGTGGAGCCGAGCTGGAAGCCCCACCCACTTTCACAAAGCCACGCCCTGCTTAACCATTAACTCGGCCAACACAGCGAGCGGATTGCCCGTTCTCACATTGGCCCCGCCCACTGCTCAAGTAACCCCGCCAACTGCCTGGGTAGCCCCGCCTACCGCTCAGGTAGCCCTGCCCAATGCCCGCATCATGAGTTGAGCACGAGGCCAGAAGCTTTTGAACCAGAGACAGAACCCTGATCGTCGCCAACGCTCCGGACGGGACACACCGGGACAGAACTTTCTGAAACTAGTGCGAGTGGCCCGGCCGAACCGAGTTCGATTCCAGCTCACGGCCAACACCGGTGACGATTACCTGAACCGGTCCTGGGCCTCTTAGAGAGCAACTCAGCCTCAAATGAGTACCTGATGCAGCATGTAAACATCGCCACTGGGGAGACAAAGGCAGCTGGACGTGGTGCTGGCTACCCACTCTCTCGTGTGCCGTGACGGCCTTGGTAGGTGCTACTCGCAAACAGCACTTGCCCCAACAGTCTGTTCTGGCTACACGGGGGATCTTTGTAAGGAGTGACACTGAGTATCTGAGTGTGACACAGTGCAGTCTACGAGGGTGTACTTTGCCCGAGCTGTCTGCTCTCACCTTCATCCAGTCCTGCTTCTCTTCCTCCGTCCTTGCATCAAAAGGGAGCGGAGGGGGAAGGAGGGAGGTGGAAGAGAGGGAGGGACACCGGGTCACTGTGAGTGCGAGTGTTCCACCGTTTGACTCTGTGACTTCAATCCCACCGTTAAAACTCTGGTTCCTCCTCCCTCCTCCTCCACGTGGCTCGAGGAGGAGGAGTAGCAGGTGTGAACTCCGCACACCAAGAGTGAACGGCAACACCTGAAGAGGTGACGGGTGGCAATGGGAAGGAGGGGCAAGCACAGCATTTGGAGCAGAGCAAACGTGCCGGCCAAATGCACTCCCTGAAGTCAACCCTCGCTCGTGAGCCATGAGGAGCAGGCCCAGCCCTTACCAGCCCGAGAGGCAGCTGTCACCGAGCCTAACCAACCAGCCAACCATACACTCGCAGTGGTAACTCTTTAACTTAACCTACTGGCCTGAACCCATCTCCATTATCTCTCACCCCGTGACCTCAGGTTGCTCCTGCACTCCCCCCTACCCCACCCTTGGGGGGATCACGACCCCAGCCCCCCGTGATTACCGAGCCTGGAAGTCAATGGTCCTCTGGACTCCGCAGACCTGGAACGTGGGGACCTGGTCGTGTTGGTTCACGTCCTTCACCTGCAGGGCCACGACATCATCACCATCAGTAGCATGATCATCATCAGCACGAGTTTCACCTTAAGCAGCAGCAGTAGCAGCAGTAGCAGACTCATCATCAGCATCACCATCAGCAAGAAAAGCAGCGTCGACAACAACAGGAGCAACATCGTATGCATCCACAGCAACATCAGCATTACCAGCAGCCACAGCAGCTGGTCAGTGAAATTAGGTGAAGGAAAGGGAGGGGGAGCACGTGGGGGTGGGGGGGACGCTTTCGGACGTCACTCTTTGCTTCCCCAAGCCGTGAACGAGAATCGAGCTCTGCCCGCGGAGTTGGGGAGCTGCGGAGTTGGGGAGTTGGGGAGCTGAGAAGCTGAGGAGTTGGGGAGTTGGAGAGCTGAGGAGTTGGGGAGTTGGGAAGCTGAGAAGCTGAGGAGTTTGGGAGCTGAGGAGTTGGGGAGCTGAGAAGCTGAGGAGTTGGGGAGTTGGGAAGCTGAGGAGTTGGGGAGTTGAGAAGTTGGGGAGCTGAGGAGCTGGGGAGCTGAGGAGTTGGGGAGCTGGGAAGCTGGGGAGTTGGGGAGCTGAGGAGCTGAGGAGCTGGGAGCTGGGGAGCTGGGGAGCTGAGGAGCTGAGGAGTTGGGGAGCTGAGGAGCTGGGGAGCTGAGGAGCTGGAGAGTTGGGGAGCTGAAGAGTTGGGGAGTTGGGGAGTTGGGGAGCTGAGGAGCTGAGGAGCTGGGAGCTGGGGAGCTGAGGAGTTGGGGAGCTGGGGAGCTGGGGAGCTGAGGAGTTGGGGAGCTGAGGAGCTGGGGAGCTGAGGAGCTGGAGAGTTGGGGAGCTGAAGAGTTGGGGAGTTGGGGAGTTGGGGAGCTGAGGAGCTGGGGAGCTGGGGAGCTGAGGAGTTGGGAAGCTGAGGAGTTGGGGAGTTGAGGAGCTGAGAAGCTGAGAAGCTGAGGAGTTGGGGAGTTGGGGAGCTGGGGAGCTGAGGAGTTGGGGAGCTGGGGAGTTGGGGAGTTGAGGAGCTGAGAAGCTGAGAAGCTGAGGAGTTGGAGAGTTGGGGAGCTGGGGAGCTGAGGAGTTGGGGAGCTGGGGAGTTGGGGAGCTGGGGAGTTGGGGAGTTGGGGAGTTGGGGAGCTGAGGAGTTTGGGAGTTGGGGAGTTTGGGAGCTGAGGAGTTGGGGAGCCGGTCTGCGGGGACACCGCGGCCGCTCTGTGTCCTCACCTCGAGGTCTCTGACGTTGATCCGCGTCCTCAAGGTGTACCGCTGGCCCATGGACCACAACTTGGGCACGCAGTGCAGCAGCATGTTGTTAAACTACGCGCGGGCCGGGGGCAAAGTGGCAGGGTGGTGTGACAGTGCAGGGTGCAGCAGTCAGCATTGGTGCCTACACCGTACTACTGATGAGTCCTACTAAGGATGAAACTAATGCACAGTTTGTATACTTCAGTTTGTGTACCTCTGTCTCACTTGTAGAGACCCCCAGACTTAAGAGACCCATAGACTTAGAGACCCATAGACTTAGAGACCCATAGACTTAGAGATCCACAGACTTAGAGACCCACAGACTTAGAGACCCATAGACTTAGAGACCCATAGACTTAGAGACCCATAGACTTAGAGACCCATAGACTTAGAGACCCATAGACTTAGAGACCCATAGACTTAGAGACCCATAGACTTAGAGACCCATAGACTTAGAGACCCATAGACTTAGAGACCCACAGACTTAGAGACCCATAGACTTAGAGACCCATAGACTTAGAGATCCATAGACTTAGAGACTCATAGACTTAGAGACCCGTAGACTTAGAGACCCACAGACTTAGAGACCCACAGACTTAGAGATCCATAGACTTAGAGACCCATAGACTTAGAGACCCATAGACTTAGAGACCCATAGACTTAGAGACCCATAGACTTAGAGACCCATAGACTTAGAGACCCATAGACTTAGAGACCCATAAACTTAGAGACCCACAGACATCTAGAGACCCATAGACTTAGAGACCCATAGACTTAGAGACCTATAGACTTAGAGATCCACAGACTTAGAGACCCACAGACATCTAGAGACCCACAGACTTAGAGACCCACATACTTAGAGACCCATAGACTTAGAGACCCATAGACTTAGAGACCCATAGACGTAGAGACCCACAGACTTAGAGACCCACAGACTTAGAGACCCACAGACTTAGAGACCCATAGACTTAGAGACCCATAGACATAGAGACCCATAGACTTAGAGACCCACAGACTTAGAGACCCATAGACTTAGAGACCCATAGACTTAGAGACCCACATACTTAGAGACCCATAGACTTAGAGACCCACAGACTTAGAGACCCATAGACTTAGAGACCCATAGACTTAGGGACCCATAGACTTAGAGACCCATAGACTTAGAGACCCACATACTTAGAGACCCATAGACTTAGAGACCCACAGACTTAGATACCCATAGACTTAGAGACCCATAGACTTAGAGACCCACAGACTTAGAGACCCATAGACTTAGAGACCCACAGACTTAGAGACCCATAGACTTAGAGACCCACAGACATCTCAAATGTATTTTGACGGTGAGCTAAGGCCACAATGTGCAGTTCTGGAGGAACTGCTGGTGGTTTTTTGCGTAATGCGCAAGGGCTGGGCGCTGTTGATGCGTCTTTGCGGGTTGTTTGAAACCCATCGCTGGGCGCGTGACACCCCTCATCACCGGCCGTGTCGCGATTGTGCCATCGCGTTCATGCTGATCATGAAGTTTGCTCCTGATTATGCTGCTGCTGATGGCAACGATGGTGCTGCCAATGCTGATGAGTCTACTGCCAATGCTGATGATGATGTTCTTGATGAGTCTGCTGTTGCTAACGATGCTGCCGATGCTGCTGCTGCTGTTGGCCTCACCAGGAAGAGGTAGCGCTCCTGCGGGACACCGATGCGCACGGAGCGCTTGAGGATGATTCCCTCCTTGAGCAGCTCCGTGTCGGGGCACACAATGTCCGTCACCTCCCCGCCCAGCATCTCGTGGACGCGCAGCAGCACCTGCATGTGCTCCTGGGGGGGGGGGAGGGGGGTGGCAACACGCGGCAGACACGGTGAGACGAGCGGGGACACGGGGGGGGACGCACCGAGACACGCAGGTACAACGCACGGGGAGATACGTGGGACACGTGGGGACACGTGTGTAACACATGGCGGACAGCTCGCGGGGACACGCAGGAAGGGGGGGTGGGATACAAACAGGGGGATACACACGGGCTAAACACGCAGAGACACGTGGGGACACGTGCAGGGACAGACGGTACACCTCATGAGGACACGCGAGGACATGCAGGTACATGTGGGTACGTGTGGAGACACGCTGTGGGGCGAGTGATGTGTTTGCGGTGGCGAGTGTGAGAGAGGAGAGAGAGGAGAGAGAGATAAGAGCGGGGCTCACGTTTCGCCTGATGGCGCTGTTGGAATGCGTGGCGGCCGTGGCGATGAGATCCAGCGATTCTGCACACGGAGCAGAACACACACCGCGTAGGACACACGCACGCGCGCACGCACACACGGTTATGGAACAGAACACGTGTCATGCAGAACAGAAGAGATGGAACAGAACGCATTCCATGTTAGACACACACGGAACAGAAGAAATTGCACACACAGCTCTTAAATGAGCACGCACCGCGCAAAACACAGAGATCAGAACAAAACGCGCGCGTCTCTCTGACATGAAAAGGCTCGTGGGATGAAACGTCAGACATCGTGCCGAACAACAGGCGCGGTACGACCCGAGAACACACCAGCGAGATACGCAGCAGCACAACCGTGAACACGCACGGCACGTAACACAACTTGCGCCAGTATAGAGTACACAGATCAGAACGGAACACGTCGTTTAGAACAAAACAACCACCGTTCAGAACAAACTTTAGGTATCCACGCGTGGAATTTAATTTGACCGATTTATAAGACGTAAACATTGCGTTCCTAATTTCTGACTGAATATTTTCCGGGTCGCTGGTGTAGACTGGGGCAGGCGACGGGGTGACCCTGAGCAGCTACGGCCAAGGCAAGGGGTGTCACACTGAACGCGGTGTGCCAGGCGCCTCACTCTCGGCGTCGCAGCGGTCGGGCGCGCCGGGCGCCAGCCGCTTAAGGTAGTCCTGCAGCAGCAGCTGGTAGCGTGGGATGCGCTGCACGGGACCCAGCATGTGGTTCTGCAGCGTCAGGCTCATGCACTCCGCCTGCCGCTGGGGTAAGGACCCCGCGGGGGAGAGGGAAGGGGGGGGGGGCGCGGGGAAGGAAGGAGGTGAGGGAAGAGGGGAGGGGAGAAGGGCGGAGGAGAGATGAGTCCGTGGGGGTCCGATGTGACAGGGGATAGGGCGGTATTAAGGATTGCACGTGCGGGTGCGTGTACGTGTGTTCTTTGTGTGTACGTTGTGTTATGGGGAGCGGTAGTGTCGTGGATAACACTGCGCCACGAACCCGGCGGACCGAGTTTGATTCCCGCATCGTTGCGACCGAATCCCAGTTGCGAATATCTGAACCGGTCCTGGGCCTCCAGTGCCTGGTGCGGTGTGTAAACATCGCTAGCACTGGGGAGACAAAGACGGCCGGGCGTGGTGCTGACCACCCACCCCCTCGTGTGTCGTGGATTGTTGCATCGCAGGACTGCGTGGGTGGGCTGGGGGCCGTGTGAAACGAAGTAGCGGGGCCCACGTGCGGCCCACGTGCGGCCCACGTGCGGCACACGTGCCGTTCAGGGCCCCCGCCGCGCCGGCGCGTGCGTGCGTGCGTGCGTGTGTGTACGTGTGCGTGTGCGTGCATGTGCGTGCATGTGCGTGTGTGCGTGCGTGTGTGCGTGCATACGTGTGTGCGTGTATGTGCGTGTGTGTGTGCATGTGTGTGTGTGCATGCGTGTGTGTGCGTGCGTCTGTGCGTGTGTGCTTGTGCGTGTGTGCGTGCGTCTGTGCGTGTGTGTGTGTGTGCGTGTGTGTGTGTGTGCGTGTGTGTGTGTGTGCGTGTGTGCACCTGGATGTCGAGGACAATGTCGGCGAAACGCTGCGACTGAGTGGTCCAGGTGGACACCAACTTGTGGGCGTCGTCAAAGTTCTTCACGTAGACCGCGTACATCTTGAGGAACGGCGCCAGCTTCTGCAGGATGTCCCCGATGCGCGGGTTCGTGTCCCTGGGGCGGTGCGGCGGAGATCAGGATTAATTACATGTCCCTGCTCACGACTCCAGTACTCACGGCCCACCACGGTTACGCCATTCTGCATTTGCCAATCTTCTCAGTTGACGTGCAAGTTAGGTTCTCGCAAATTAAGCCGGGGCGATGGTGGCGGCACTGCTACGTACGGCCGCCTGTGACCCAGCGCTGCGGAGGAAGCAGCGAGGGTTGGTCAGATCGCCGCGTGAATGTTGTGAAACTCCCTTCCCGTGGGCGCATGAGGAGGTTCCACTTTGCCCTGGCTCGCCGGGATGGGGCGGTACAGGAAGCGTGGACTAATCTCCACCTGCCCCATCCGTATGGGAGATAGAGCGTTGCCCCCTCGCACACACGTCGGTTTTCTCCGGGTGCTCTGGTTTCCTCCCACGTGTACTATCAGCACAACTCATCATTAATTGGCTGAGAAGCATCTTCATCCACGCGCGCCTCAGTGTGGCGGAATGCGCAGCGTTTTTGAGATGCAGTGCCATAAATTACGCTGTCGTAAAACAACCGCAATAATATTTATTCTAGATTTAAAGCTTTCGTGACTGCAAGGATCCATACTCTTTGGTTCTATTCGGTAAAGTCACGTAGGTAATTTATTTTACCTACGTGACTTTACCGAATAGAATCAAAGAGATAATATTTATTATTACACACTGCACTTGCCTGATGATGGGTAAACAAGACCAAGGTAGAAACACACACACGGTCTCTATCCTAATTTGGTCGCGAGATGTTAACTAATTCGCCTGGCATGCAAGAGGTTGTGGTTTCAATCTCAACCCTGACGCCTGCTGTATATTTGGAATTTGCATGTCTCTCTCCCCGTGGTGGTGTGAATTTTTCCTCCGGGTCCTCCGGTTTTTCCCTCCGCATTTAGAATCAACATCACGCGTTTCAGAGTGTTTGGCCGCTCTACATTTCCACGCGATGAGCCAACTTCGTTGCGGCCAGGTCGCTTCTGAAAAAGATCTGTACAGCTCAGTGGGCCTTACGTTGTCACATAAAAAATAGTTTACAGTTTTAGTACGAGACCGCAGCCGCTGCCCGCGCCGACGCTGTGGCCGACGGCGACGCGGCACGCACCACTCCTGCATGCGCTGCTGGAGCTCAGGCAGCAGGAAGTCGCGGTGGAAGCTGTGGATGGAGGGGAGGTTGGAGAAGACCCGCGACACCACGTCCACCGGGAACGACCCCTTCTCCGCCTCCTCCCGCAGCTGCTTGTGGAACACCTGCGGGGAGCAAACCACGGGCAAGCACGGGAGATAAACTCTTGACCTCGAGAGACGGCGGGGAGAGAGGTCGGATCGTCAGCTCGCCGGTTCGTCCGCTCTGCGCGCCATTCTTACGGCATCGGGCAGCCCACCGGCGTTGGTTCAAGTCAGCCTGTCTCTGTTGATGAGACACTGAATGTTGAAACCAGTCTTTGCCTATGACCATCAGGTAACTCACCAGCACTGTTTCAAGCCAACCTGTCTCTGCTGATGAGGCAATGAATGCCTCTGCTTGCAGTGACTAGCCAGTGCTGCTTAACTTATGCACTCCCAGATGGCCGTGTGACCGATGGGATGTGTAAAAAACGCACTGCTGTGCACGCCCCTCATGATGCTGCGTGAGTCTCCTGGTGCAAGGCTCTCACGAAGGGAGGCGCCATCCCGGGTCCCTCTTGCAAGCGACGCTCACACAGCAAGATTGAGTTATCACCCCGTTCACCAGAAACACAGTCCGCAGTGAATCTGCTCCGGCCCCTTGCTTTACTTTGCATGCAATACCCCGCTGTGTCCACCAGGAGGCGGCCCTCCCCCGGCAGAGTGATGGAAGGACCCCTGACCCGACCCTTCTGTATGTGCAGGTGCAGGGTGTAGGGTGTAGGTGCAGGGTGTAGGGTGTAGGTGCAGGTGCAGGGTGTAGGGTATAGGTGCAGGGTGTAGGTGCAGGGTGTAGGTGCAGGGTGTAGGTGCAGGTGCAGGGTGTAGGTGCAGGGTGTAGGTGCAGCGTGTAGGTGCAGGGTGTAGGTTGTAGGTGCAGGGTGTAGGTGCAGGGTGTAGGTGCAGGGTGTAGGTGCAGGGTGTAGGTGGAGGGTGTAGGTGCAGGGTGTAGGTGCAGCGTGTAGGTGCAGGGTGTAGGTACAGGGTGCAGGGTGTAGGTGCAGGGTGTAGGTTGTAGGTGCAGGGTGTAGGTGCAGGGTGTAGGTACAGGGTGCAGGGTGTAGGTGCAGGGTGTAGGTGTATGTGCAGCGTGTAGGTGCAGGGTGAGCACCTCATCCAGGAGGCTGAGCCTCTTCACGTAAGTCCTCTCCGTTTCCAGCAGCTCCATTGCGGTGAGGTGCAGCTTCTGGAGGAGGGGGAAGCGACGGGGGAACGGCGTGACGAGGTGGGCGTTGGTGGTGGCCGTGCCAGGTTCACAGTGGCCGTGTCAGAGACACTCGGACGGAATGGCCGAGTTCCTGGGTTGGGATCTGGGTCACCCTGTAGACTGACGTCACCCTGTAGACTGACGTCACCCTGTAGACTGACGTCACCCTGTAGACTGACGTCACCCTGTAGACTGACGTCACCCTGTAGACTGACGTCACCCTGTAGACTCATAAACCCATATAGACCGAGCTGTAGTCCAACCAGGTTCTCAAGGGTAGCCAGTTGATGGCCTCAGTCCGATTACCAATAACTCAGAGGTAGATTCACAACAACACGCTCCTGACGCACACAGAGAGCCAGACCTACAACGGAGACCCATAGTCTCACAGCGAGACCTACAGACGTACATAGAGAGCCAGTGGACTCATACACAAAAGCCAACGACCGATATAACATAGACTCACAGAGAGACCTATACAACAACCGCCATTCCCCACTAAATGGCGGTGACGTCACCACGGCGCTTGTGCCAGGCTATGTGCACATTAAGGCCACGTGAAGAGACCTGGACACTCACATCGAGACCCACAGATTTACACACACCCAGTAGTGATTAAACCGGCTGCACGAGTGTAGCGAGTTGGTGGCACCAGCCCGGTCACCGATGAACGCACAAATAAGCACCCCCCCCCCCACACATCACTTCGAGAATTTTTTCAAATGCCAATTTGTCTGTCACGTGGCACTCAAGCATCTCTGTGGCTGGGCGAGGGGCAAAGCGCTGCCCTCTTCTGTGGGGATGAGAGGTCACTCTCAGGAACCCCTGACGGGAGTTCCGTCATGTCTCCTTCCACGGACCGCTCTCGAACACGAGGTGGTGAGGCACCGCTCTCTTTGAGGGTTCCAAGCGGAACCCTCGTCTCGTGAAGACGACAACAGCGCAGATTCGGGAGGCGATTCAAAATAATAATTTTACGTTATGGTATTATCTTTCAAAGTTGTGTTACATTTTGCTGCCTCTCGTGACCGGAGGGATTTACAAACCCATTACATGCGCCACAAAGACAAAGATCCCCTCTGTTGCCTTCACAGAGTTATGCGAGAGAGCGCCTATGAAGGCTGGCACGGCACACGAGGGGGTGGGTGGCCAACACGACGCCCGACCGCCTTTGTCTCTTTAATGGCGATGTTTACACAACGCACCAGGTACTCATTTAAGGCTGAGTCGACCTAGGGGAGGTGCAGGACCGATTCAGATAATCGTCACTGGTGTTGGCCGTAAATGAGAATCGAATCCGGGTTCGTAGCGCAGCGCTAACCGCTACACTACATACACACAGACACATACAGACAAACACAGACACACACAGACACACAGACACACACACAGACACACAGCAACACACAGCAGACACACACAGACACACTCGGACAAACATTCATTGTGAAACTAGGAGTCAGTTTGATTACAGCCGCAATGAATCGGCATCTGGGGTAATCTCTAACGTGGGTGGCTCTGCTGATGAGACTATGAAGATCGGGACCGGTCCAGGGGTCGCTCGCTGGAACAAGTGCTGATGGTGGATAGCGACGTTGGTCTTGAAGGCCAACAGGCTGATGGTCCAACTCACGTGTTGACTTATCTGTTACGACGCAGCACGAGACTTTATTTTTTCTCATCCATAATGAACTGGGGACATGTGGGGTGGGGTGGGGAGGGCAGTGTGATCCCCCACTCCCCACCGCAGCCCCCCCGCCCCATCCATTGCTTCCGTGTTGACCAGGTAAGGTTGCCCGAGTACACACAGTGAGGATTTGACAGCATGCAAATAATGCACGAGTACACCTCGAGCAGACTGGCGGGACACGTGCTCTTAGCAAGCACATATGAAGGCCGGCATGGCACACACAGAGACACGCACAATCACTGATGAAGGCCGGCATGGCACACACAGAGACACACAATCACTGATGAAGGCCGGCATGGCACACACAGAGACACACACAATCACTGATAAAGGCCGGCATGGCACACACAGAGACACACAATCACTGATAAAGGCCAGCATGGCACACACAGAGACACACACAATCACTGATGAAGGCCGGCATGGCACACACAGAGACACACACAATCACTGACGAAGGCCGGCATGGCACACACAGAGACACACACAATCACTGATGAAGACCGGCATGGCACACACAGAGACACGCACAATCATTGATGAAGGCCGGCATGGCACACACAGAGACACACACAATCACTGATGAAGACCGGCATGGCACACACAGAGACACACACAATCATTGATGAAGGCCGGCATGGCACACACAGAGACACACACAATCACTGATGAAGACCGGCATGGCACACACAGAGACACACAATCACTGATGAAGGCCGGCATGGCACACACAGAGACACACAATCACTGATGAAGACCGGCATGGCACACACAGAGACACACAAGCACTGATGAAGGCCGGCATGGCACACACAGAGACACACAAGCACTGATAAAGGCCGGCATGGCACACACAGAGACACACAATCACTGATGAAGACCGGCATGGCACACACAGAGACACACAGCAGACACTCCTAAGAGCCCCAAAAGGACACAGAGAACCAAATGGTACAGAGGCACCAACATAGAAAGACACAAAAAGACCCGCACCAAAGACAAAGGTTCCCCGTATAACCTGATTAGACTGTGGTGGCAAGTGCTGGAAACGAGCACCTTTAAAGGCTGGCATGGAACACGAAGGGGTGGGGTGGCCAGCACCATGCCCGGCCGACTTTGTCTCCCTAGTGACGATCTTTACGCACCGCGACAGGTACTAATTTGAGTTTGAGTCGACCTAGGAGATGCCCAGGACGGGTTAAGATAATTATAATCAGTTACCGGTGTTGGCCGTGAGTGGGAATCGGGTTTGTAGCGCAGCGCAATAACCGCTACACTACCGCTCCCCACGCACTCACGCAGACAACACAAAGATAAACAGATAACCTCACACACACACAGACAACATCACTCACACACAGACAACCTCACACACACACAGACAACCTCACACACACACAGACAACATCACACACACACAGACAACATCACTCACACACAGACAACCTCACACACACACAGACAACCTCACACACACACAGACAACCTCACACACACACACAGACAACATCACACACACACAGACAACATCACACACAGACAACCTCACACACACAGACAACCTCACACACACAGACAACCTCACACACACACAGACAACCTCACACACACAGACAACATCACACACACAGACAACCTCACACACAAACACAGACAACCTCACACACACAGACAACTTCACACACACACAGACAACCTCAAACACACACAGACAACTTCACACACAGGCAACCTCACACACACAGACAACCTCACACACCCAACCAACGCGTCTCTGTCTCACGTGAGCTGGGGACATTCTCCGAATCTCCGTGTGCACGCAGCCCCGGGACTGCTGAGTCAGCATCGTGGGAGCCCCGAGGGGAAGGGGGGCTGAAGCCAAAATAACCCAGACCCCCCCCCCCTACTCATAACCCCCCCACCTCCCCGTCCCCCCAGGCAGGGTCGCCCATGGGGGGGGAGGGGTGTGGGGGGCCCGGGGCAAGCCCCACCCCGTGTGTACCTCCCCGCGACGCCTTCAAACTAAGCCGCAAGAATCTCATCTGACAACGTGACGTCGAAGCGCGGAGACCCCCCAAAGCGCGGGGCCCGGGGTGGTCGCCAGCACGTCTCACGGTTGGTATCGGGGCTCAAGGGGCGTGGCCGTGATGGTGGCCGTGATGATGATCGTGATGATGATCGTGATGATGATCGTGATGATGATCGTGATGATGATCGTGATGATGATCGTGATGATGATCGTGGGCGCCGCGACATGAGTGGGTGCGGGTACAACGCGAACGTGTGGGTGAGGATTAAGGATAGGGTTCGAGATAGAGGTTGGGGTACAGCGAGGGGAAAAGTATTTGATCCCCTGCTGATTTTATACGTTTGCCCACTGACAAAGAAATGATCAGTCTATAATTTTAGTGGTAGGTTTATTTGAACAGTGAGAGACAGAATAACAAAAAAATCCAGAAAAACGCATGTCAAAAATGTTATGAATTGATTTCCATTTTAATGAGGGAAATAAGTATTTGACCCCTCTGCAAAACATGACTTAGTATTTGGTGGAAAAACCCTTGTTGGCAATCACAGAGGTCAGACGTTTCTTGTAGTTGGCCACCAGGTTTGCACACATCTCAGGAGGGATTTTGTCCCACTCCTCTTTGCAGATCTTCTCCAAGTCATTAAGGTTTCGAGGCTGACGTTTGGCAACTCGAACCTTCAGCTCCCTCCACAGATTTTCTATGGGATTAAGGTCTGGAGACTGGCTAGGCCACTTCAGGACCTTAATGTGCTTCTTCTTGAGCCACTCCTTTGTTGCCTTGGCCGTGTGTTTTGGGTCATTGTCATGCTGGAATACCCATCCACGACCCATTTTCAATGCCCTGGCTGAGGGAAGGAGGTTCTCACCCAAAATTTGATGGTACATGGCCCCGTCCATCGTCCCTTTGATGCGGTGAAGTTGTCCTGTCCCCTTAGCAGAAAAACACCCCCAAAGCATGTTTCCACCTCCATGTTTGACGGTAGGGATGGTGTTCTTGGGGTCATAGGCAGCATTCCTCCTCCTCCAAACACGGCGAGTTGAGTTGATGCCAAAGAGCTCCATTTTGGTCTCATCTGACCACAACACGTTCACCCAGTTGTCCTCTGAATCATTCAGATGTTCATTTCAGACAGGCATGTATATGAGCTTTCTTGAGCAGGGGGACCTTGCGGGCGCTGCAGGATTTCAGTCCTTCACGGCGAAGTGTGTTACCAATTGTTTTCTTGGTGACTATGGTCCCAGCTGCCTTGAGATCATTGA